AGCATTCTGGCATTAATGAGTTAACCACTGATTGTACACGAGGTTTTAAAAAACTTTACCTACCACAGGATGACACACATCCCATATTGATTTTCTTGTTTAGGGCCAGGGAAGAGGTCGCAAAGGTCTTCAGCCACAATACTGTACACAATACACAATAAAGACTTTAGCTCCCATTCTACTTTTAGAAATTCTAGGAACCACTAGTAAACCTGCAGATTGAGAGCGAAGTGCTCTGTTAGGAACATAAGGAACAATCAGATCTCTGATATCAGATGGAGCTTGGCCATTTAAGGCTTTATATGTGAGAAGGAGGATTTTAAATTCTATTCTGGATTTAACAGGAAGCCAATGAAGAGAAGCCAGGATAGGAGAGATATGATCTCTCTTTTTCATTTTCATCAGAACTCTGGCTGCAGCATTTTGGATCAGCTGAAGGCTTTTAACTACAGTTTGTGGACTTCCTGATAGTAAAGAATTACAATAGTCCAGCCTTGAAGTAACAAATGCATGGACTAGTTTCTCAGCATCACCCCTGGACAGGAGATTTCTCATTTTTGCAATATTCCTCAGATGAAAGAAGGAAATTCTAGAAACCTCTTTGATATGGGATTTAAATGACAGGTCCTGATCAAAAATAACTCTTAGATCTTTTACTTAATTATCTGAAATCAGTTTAATCCCATCCAAATGAAGTGACTGGCTAATCAGCTTCTTTTTCAGAGACTCTGGTCCAAAGACTATAACTTCTGTTTTGTCTGCATTCAGAAGCAGAAAGTTAAGAGTAATCCAGGTTTTTATGTCTTCAGACATGCCTGTAATTCATATAATGGGTTAGCTTCATCTGGATTTATAGATATAGCTGGGTATCATCAGCATAACAGTGGAAATTAATCCCATGCTGTCTAATAACTCTTATAGTAAAGAGAATTGGTCCTAGCACTGATCCCTGTGGTACTCCACAGGTAACCTTTGAGCATGAGGAAGATCTGTCATTAATGTGAACAAACTGAATTTGATCAGATAGATCAGATTTAAACCAGTCTAGTGCTGTTCCTTTAATTCCAACAAAATATTCAAGTCTTTCTAAAAGAATATTATGATCAACTGGATCAAATGCAGCACTAAGATCCAACAGGACGAGCACAGATACAAGTCCATTATCTGAGGCCATGAGAATATCATTAGTGACTTTCACCAGAGCTGTTTCAGTGCTATGAAGGAGAAAGGTTCTGTAGATGTGACCTGATGTTCAGAGGGCTGGTAGCTGCACGTCTTAGGACAGAGTTTGCCTATTATAAGATGGTGTCAGACTTGAAAGAGTTCATTTGTATTTGGGGAAGTAGAGATATTTTATGTTGTGTAAGTGATGAATTGCTTACTCTCAGTTTTTGAGGGTTTTAATTTTTATTTTTTTTATTTCAGGCTGTTAGGAGGATTGTATGTACAGGTGCTGGTCATAAAATTAGAATATCATGAAAAAGTAGATTGATTTCAGTAATTCCATTTAAAAAGTGAAACTTGTATATTATATTCATACATTACATACAAACTCATATATTTCAGATGTTTATTTTGTTTAATTTTGATGATTACAAATGACAACAAATGAAAATCTCAAATTCATCATATCAGAAAATTAGAATATTACTGAAGACCAATAAAAACAAAGGATTTATAGAAATGTTGGCCAACTGAAAAGTATGAACATGTACAGCACTCAGTATTTAGTTGGGCCTCCTTTGGCCTGTATTACTGCAGCAATGCGGCGTGGCATGGAGTCGATCAGTCTGTGGCACTGCTCAGGTGTTATGATAGCCCAGGTTGCTCTAATAGTGGCTTTTAGCTCTTCTGAATTGTTGGGTCTGGTGTATTGCATCTTCTTCTTCACAATACCCCATAGATTTTCTATGGGGTTAAGGTCAGGAGAGTTTGCTGGCCAATTAAGAACAGGGATACCATGGTCCTTCAACCAGGTACTGGTAGCTTTGGCACTGTGTGCAGGTGCCAAGTCCTGTTGGAAAATGAAATCTGCATCTCCAAAAAGTTGGTCAGCTGCAGGAAGCATGAAGTGCTCTAAAACTTCCTGGTATGTGGCTGCGTTGACCCTGGACCTCAGAAAACACAATGGACCAACACCAGCAGATGACATGGCACCCCAAACCATCACTGACTGTGGAAACTTTACACTGGACTTCAAGCAACGTGGATGAAGTGCCTCTCTTCTTTTCCTCCAGACTCTGGGACCTTGATTTCCAAAGGAAATGCAAAATTTACTTTCATCAGAGAACATGACTTTGGACCACTCACCAGCAGTCCAGTCCTGTTTCTCTTTAGCCCAGGCAAGACGCTTCTGACGCTGTCTGTGGTTCAAGAGTGGCTTGACACAAGGAATGCGACAGCAGAAACCCATGTCTTTCATACGTCTGTGTGTGGTGGTTCTTGAAGCACTCACTCCAGCTGCAGTCCACTCTTTGTGAATCTCCCCCACATTTTTGAATGGGTTTTGTTTCACAATCCTCTCCAGGGTGCGGTTATCTCTCTTGCTTGTACACTTTTTTCGACCACATCTTTTCCTTCCCTTCGCCTCTCTATTAATGTGCTTGGACACTGAGCTCTGTGAACAGCCAGCCTCTTTAGCGATGACCTTTTGTGTCTTGCCCTCCTTGTGCAAGGTGTCGATGGTCGTCTTTTGGACAACTGTCAAGTCAGCAGTCTTCCCCATGATTGTGTAGCCTATAGAACTAGACTGAAAGACCATTTAAAGGCTTTTGCAGGTGGTTTGAGTTAATTAGCTGATTAGAGTGTGGCACCAGGGGCCATCAATTTTGAACCTTTTCACAATATTCTAATTTTCTGATATGATGAATTTGAGATTTTCATTTGTTGTCATTTGTAATCATCAAAATTAAACAAAATAAATATCTGAAATATATGAGTTTGTATGTAATGTATGAATATAATATACAAGTTTCACTTTTTAAATGGAATTACTGAAATCAATCTACTTTTTCATGATATTCTAATTTTATGACCAGCACCTGTATATGATTCACTTGTGAGTTTGTATTATGACATTTTGGACCAATAAAAGCGAGTTCATGGTATGATGATCTCTAAAGCCAGACTGAAACTCTTCAAAGTTCATTTTGGTGGAAGTGATCGCACACTTGTTTGGGAACTACTTTCTTAAGGATTTTAGATAAGAAAGGAAGATTGGATATAGGTCTATAATTGACCAAGTCATCTGGGTTAAAGAGACAGTTTCTTAAACAGAGGTTTAATTCCAGCAACTTTAAAAGCCTTTGGTACATATCCCTGTAAAAGAGATAGATTAATCACATCTAAAATGGAAGAGGAGATCAAAGGGAATACCTCCTTAAATAACCTGGTTGGAACTGGATCTAACATCCAAGTTGAAGGCTGTTGGATTCAGAAAATGTAGGTTTGCAAATAAATAGATATTGAGTCTACACAGGAAAGAGATTCAAGCAGCTTCTGCAGGAGCGGAAGGAAAAGCCCAACCCAACCTCAAACTTTCCTTCTCCGAATCCCCTCCTGCAGCCGTCTTTTATTAACAGAACATAACACATGGTTACAAAACAGTATTTGTTCTGACAGAACAATTGATCAGTTCATAAAGACAAGATGCTCCATCAGAATGACAAGGCAGGATGGTCTCCTGACTGAATCACAAGAGAGGAGTGGAGCATCCCCTTGCAAAAATGTTTCATTAGCAAACATTAATTTTATAATCATCATTGAATAAACCTGACAAAGGCTTAGATGAAGACAATAGTTTTGCTAACTCTGAAAGTTGAACTGGATCAAAGCAGTCTAAACCCGGTTCAAACTCCATGACTGCCTCAGATGCTGCCCCACCCTCCAGAGACAAACCAATCATAGATAGAGGAGTGCTATTGATCTTATTTTTAATAAGATCAATCTTATTTATAAAGAATCCCATAAAATCATTGCTGCTAAGAGCAGGTGAAATGGACGGTTCAACAGAGCTATGGCTCTGGGTGAGTTTGGCAACTGGATTAAAAATATATCTAGGATTATTCTTATTCTCCTCTATTAATGAGGAGAAATATGCTGCTCTTGCTTTACAGAGGGTCCTCTTATACAGCAGTAAACCACTTCTCCAGTCTAGGTAGGATTCCCGTAGGCCTGTGGAGTGATATTTTCTCTCCAGTTTCCTAGCATTTTGCTTAAAGTGCACAGCTCTGCATTAAACCAAGGACCCAACTTTGTATTTTTAACGGTTTTCATTTTCAAAGGAGCTAAGACTAATAGTTTTCATCTTGAAGACTAAGACTAAATCTAAGATGGCTGTCAAAATCAACACCTATCTAATGGGTCTGAAAAAATAATAAAGATCCAAGTCAGTTTTTAGGATTCCAGTTTATTAGAATTATCAGACATGCAGCATATCAGATCAGAGTTGATCCCCTCCCCCTTCTTAAAGTATCAAAAGTAGCAGTGATAAGCAAACACCGTTATGGACACTGATGAGTACCTGAACCTCGCCTTTTCTGTCCTGGTGGATAAGAAATGGATCAGAACCACTGGCTCATGTCTAACCCTCAGAAAACTGAGAAATGTGGTTTGGTTGCAGGGAACAGTAGTTTTTAAGGCAGCATTGGAGAAGAGATGAATTCTGGGAGTGAAAAATAATCAGTAGTTCCACAAACGAAAGAAGGAAGTCCATTTTTTCCTAGCAGACATGGGGATCGTTTGGCACAGATTTGTTTTTACTGTCTGGTGTCTGAACTGAACAATGGGTCAAACCTGACGCATATAAAGGAAAGTGCTTTTTTTTAGTCTAGCTCTAAAGCCCCCGATCCGGTTTAAGATTTTTGCATTCATGCAGACAAACGTAGTGACTAGAAAAACTGGAAAGTCCAAAAGAGAATTAAGCGTGAGTTGCAGGGCAGCTATAAGTAATGTGTTACGTTATCTACTGTTAGTTTGGTGATGCAGCAGGAAGCCTAAGAGTGTGTTGAATGTTTTATTCTTGTTTTTACATTGAGATCAGTTCAATTGTGGCAGAAATAACCATATAGACACAAACTCCTCAACTTTGATAGAAATAAACTGAGTTCATTTTTGTTCAGCAGGGTTTTCATTTGACAGTTTTATGTAGTGCAGCAATGTTTCCTCTCCAGCTCAGCTCTGAGGTGCATCATGGGACGGTGACGTTGAATGGAGACCCAGGGATGTGGTCATCGCCCCACTTCACCACCAGGATGTAGTTGCCCTGTTCCTTCAGCACGTAGCTGACGTTGTACTGCAGGTTTCCCAGATGTTTGACTAGAACCTCCTCACAGGGGACCTGAGGGCCATACACGCCCACCAGGAGCATGTTCTTACCTGGGAAGAAATGTAGAAACGCAAACATAAAATTCTTATGCCATTTCTGTTTAAATGCTAGTTGTTGTGTACAAAATAAAGCACAGCTTTACTGGACCTTGATATAATCTAAATGTGGATATTTTAATTGTTACACTCCAATGTGAAGAGGATCTGGATGTAGTCCATGTTCAGATACGTTTGGATAGATACAGATGGATTCTCGCTCTGGGTTTCATTTACTTGGTGTCCAGAAATACAAAAACAAACCTTGATGCTATCCTTAGAGAAGACGTGTCAAATAGGTCTGGAGTAAAAACTGCTTACAAAGACTTCATTCTTTTACCAATATTTCCCAAATATCCACTGAAATAGTGATGGAGGAAAAATCTATATGTAGCTCATCTGAAAGGTTGCAGCACGAGTTATAAGGAGAGATCATATCTCTCATATCCTAGCTTCTCAATTGGCTTTCAGTTAAAGGAATAGTACACCCAAAACATGATTAGCCTTCATTTTCTACTCACCCCCATGCTGAACAACACTCTGGAGTACTTTTTTGATATCTCAAATGCATCTGAAGATCTGGGAGGCTTCTTGCTGTCTGCTGACATTCAAATAATGGAGGTCTATGGCGCCCGAGGCAGAAAGGTCCATAAAAGTCCACAAAAAACGTGTCAATATTCCTCCATACTGCTCGTCCAATGTATTCCAAGTGTCCTGAGTGGGTAGCGTCCATAATTTACTCGAAACAAAGTCATTTAGAATGTTTTTAGAGCATAAACAGTAGTGTATAGGATTTCCTGAAAGCGAGTTCATGAGTCTACGGAAACCGCGGCAGACCAAACCAGATGAAAGTGCGCATTCAGCTCGGCAAAGAACTCATGCTCTTCCTCAACACTGAAGTCCTCAGACATTTTTCTTTCGTTGTTTCTTTCTTTGCACAGGTAAACAGCACATTTCTTCTTCTACGCTTGCATTATCGGCAGAGCAGACGCTGAATGCGCACTTTCATCTGGTTTGGTCTGCAGCGGTTTCCGTAGCGTCGTGAACGCGCTTTCAGGAAATCCTATACACTACTGTTTATGCTCTAAAAACATTCTAAATGACTTCGTTTCGAGTAAATTCTGGACGCTACCCACTCAGGACACTTGGAATACATTGGACGAGCAGTATGGAGGAATATTGACACGTTTTTTGTGGACTTTTATGGACCTTTCTGCCTCGGGCGCCATAGACCTCCATTATTTGAATATCAGCAGACAGCAAGAAGCCTCCCAGATCTCCAGATGCATTTGAGATATCAAAAAAGTACTCCAGAGTGTTGTTCAGCATGGGGGTGAGTAGAAAATGAAGGCTAATCATGTTTTGGGTGTACTATTCCTTTAAATCCAGAATTTATTGTAGAATTTATAATCCTCCATCTCGCATATAAAGCCCTAAATAACAAAGCTCCATCTTATATCATGATCCAATTGTCCTTATGTTCCAAACAGAACACTTTGCTTTCAATCTGTAGGTGTACTAGTGGTCCATAGAATTATTAAAGTAGAATGGGAGCCAGATATTTAAAAAATACAGCCTTTAACTTTAATCTTTGATAAAACAGAAGTGCTTAGTTAAAAAAAAAAAAAAAAAAAACTTTCTCTGTCACATCATGCTTTAGGCTTATAGTGCCGGAGGACCACATTTCCCTACTCTTCTACTTTCTCCTACTGCTGTTCAAGTATAAAAACTTCTCTGTGGTTTTTGCAGCCATTAACCTCTCAAGCCCAGAGGGTTTTAGGAGCAATCCAGCTCAGACTGGAACAAACATTCACCTTCCATCAACACTATAACCCTGAGCACACTGCTAGAATAACAAAAGAGCCCAGCCAGAGGCCTGACCTAAACCCAAATGAGCATCTCTGGAGTGACCAGAAAATGGCCGTCTAACAAACGCTCACCATCCAACCTGACCGAACGGGAGAGGATCTGCAAGGAAAAATGGCAGAGGATCCCTAAATCCAGGTATGGAAAAAAAAACTTGTTGCATCAATCCCAAGAAGACTCATGGCTGTACTAGCTCAGACGGTTGCTTCCACTCAATACTGAGCAAAGAGTCTGAATACTTATGACAATGTGATATTTCAGTTTCTCCTTTTCAATAAATTTGCAAAAATTTGTATTTTTTTCTTTTTTTTTTGTCAAGATAGGGTGCTGAGTATATATTAATGAGAAATAAGATGAACTTTATTGATTCTAGCAAATGGCTGTAATGAAGCAAAGAGTGAAACATTTAAACGGGTCTGGATGCTTAACACTGTAAATAAAGATTCTATGAAAATTAACCAGACATTGCTTTTCAGCAAAGCTCGAACAGAATGATTTTAAAAACAGGCCTTAGAGTCAGTCTGTGCCATCAGTGGTAGGCATTTCCGCTTTAAAGGCTGCCTTTTCCAGACGGCCTGTTTCAGCTCCTTCCAAAGATGCTCAGTAGGATTGAAGTCTTCAGAACAGTCCTGTGTTTTCCTCTCAGCTCATTATCCTGTTGAACACACCAAGCTTTCTGACGCAGCAGCACATTTCTCTCCAAATGTCCTTATAATCTGGAGATTTCATAGGACCCTGCAGAAATGCAGACACCCTGTTCCAGAAACAGAGCTTCCTCCATGTTTCACAGAGACAGTCTTCTTATCTTGGTCTGTGATCATAAAGCTAATCATCCTCAAGTTCCTGCAGCCTGAAGAACATCTTTAATCTGGTTAGAAGTTTTTCACTTTTCATTGTGTTTCCATTCATCTCTGATTTGTCATCAGTTTTCCTGCTGTTGGCTACAGTCCATGGAAGCTAAATGAATAACTGTGCAGCTGTAGTCAGAGGAACACAGGCTGATTAGAGATTCCCTGACAGCCTTAAGCTTTAACATGCTGCTCTATCTTTTTCTCTCTTCTCTCTTGAGACAACTCTGTCCTTCTTTTCATCTGGTCCATGTTGAGTGCACTACACACCACGTTAGTGCTGGGCGATATGGAAAAAATCATATATCATGATATGGACTATTTTATATCACAATAATGTTATATATCGCAATATGCTCCAATTGAGTACATTTTCAGCAAATCTCTGAAAAATATGACAAAATAATATAATTGCTTACTTTTTCAACTTTATTTTGAAGTGACATTTATAGAACTGTCACAAATTAGAAAAATAAATTGTAGTGCAACAATATATATGCATAAGATGAGGTGGAAGTATGGCTACAGTATCCTTCACATTTTTTCAAATCCTACAGGTATTTAAATTAAATTACTGTGGTTCTTCTTTAGGTATTAGAAGAGGTCTGTCGTGTTGCCATCGGGTAAGGGAACAGTCTTGTAGCATAGTTTGCAAATGTTGTCTGCTCCTTGTTGGACTTGGTAAATCCAAAATGTAACCAAATCACAGATGTGCCCCCTCTTTTTGGTAAAATTTCTTTATCTTGGGTTGCCTGCGTAGCTGTCTCTGTTTGTTGCGACCACAGGTTTAATACTTCAGCCTCCTGCGTCTCCAACTCTCATGAGTTAAGTAACGTAAAGCATGTCGCAAACCCGCGTGTGAGTCAAAAACCCGTAAAGAAGCGTCATGTTGCAAAAACCACAGGACGCCGCTTCTTTGTGGATTAAAAAAAAATAATCTTGTTTATCACTTATAAGCTGTGTGTAGGCTACGTGGCTACACTAATACTATTGTCGTAGTCTACCATGGGAAATATTTGCATGAATACGAGATACAATTGTGTTAGAAACGATAGAATAGAATTAGCACGATAGACACTTTTCTATCGTCCGTACGATATATATCGTCTTATCGCCCAGCCCTACACCACGTCACAAGCAATGACTCCTTGTAGCCCTATATATAGGCCCACTAACTGATTACTAGACTGTAGACACATCTTGATCCAATGCGTCCCTTTGGTCACATTATTCTCAGTCTTTTCTAGAGGAACGATCATTTTAGTCCAGGCCTGTTTCCATGAGGGGATTTTATTTGAAGCAAGGTTGAAAAGAAATGTCTGAATTTCACTTATTTTCAAAGAAAAAATATTTTTTTATTCATAAACTTTTTTTCTGTCACCATTGTGAGTTTTTCCTTCCACTGAACAAGAGGAACCAACAATTTAAACTAAAAATAAACTAAACCTTGACTTTTATATCCTATTAAAACATGAGGGAGAACATCAGCTTATCTTGGAAAGAACTGATCTTGCTGATCTTCCAGTCTCATTTAGCCAACAGCTGAAGGTCTGATCAGGGTCTTACCAGCTTTGCTGCAGTCCACAGAGAAGTTGCTTCTCTGGCTCACGAAGGCCTTGCTGAGTCCGGATCCTCGGCTCAGCACCTTGCTGGCATCAGAGTCTCCCGGCCTGGGCAGGCCGCTCTGAAGGAAGCCGCTGTTGGACGATCGTACAGTTGGATCCAGCATTAGGGTTGACGTCTCGGAGTTGGTCGCATTCACCAGCCGAGCACCTGATTAAAACATAATCAGGTAAGGGAAAGGCGGCTTTAGAGCTTTTAACTGTGGACTGATCGTCCTCCACCCACAGGGGTTGGGGTCTGATTCTGATCACCGTACCTGTGACTCGAGCCTTAAAGGGACTCCCAGTGATGTGGTTGGGTCCTCCATATTTAATGCTGATCACATAGCTGCCCGGGGCCATGGGAGTGTAGTGAACTTTGTAACCCTCTGGGATCTCCTGACAGTCCATCTTCACTTTGGAGGGACCCTCAATGGTCACTGTTAAAGCTCCAGGACCAGCTTTAGTGTTGTTAATGATGAACTCTGACTGGGTTCCTACAAACGGAAGACATTGGGTTCTAAAATTCCCTCAATATGTCATTCCTGTCCTGGTATTGAATAGAATGGTGCGGTGACAATGGGAAGTGCGGTGGATTCACAAAGAATTCCTATGCAAACCCGGCAGGGAAGGGCCCTCAACTCCTGCTACTAGATAGAGCTAAGGTATTGTCAAACAGCAGCACCTCATGAAGAGTCCCGAGCAGGGATGCAGAAGTTGAAACAAGCTGAACTATTTTGTGAAATCGCGACACAGCAGCCAGTCAGGGACTGGTTGTAGATTAAGCTTTTTTAAATTAAATTGGAATAGAGTAGAGAATAATTTTAACAAAGGTAGAAATAAGGAATGCTCTCAAGAGATTTTTAGGTGCCTGTAAAAAAGCTGTTTTAATTTAGTCCTAGAAGCGTTGGTCATCCTCACTCGCCTCCAGCACAGAGCCTGGTCTATGACTGCCAGTCGGTGCTTTATCCAGGGTTATATTTACAAGGAAGTCCCAATCAGAGCTGCATCTGGAGATGCAGAGTTTCAGTCTGGCTTTAGAGCTCATCATAGCACTGAAACAGCTCTGGTGAAAGTCACTAATGATATTCTCATGGCCTCAGATAATGGACTTGTATCTGTGCTCGTCCTGTTGGATCTTAGTGCTGCATTTGATACAGTTGACCATAATATTCTTTTAGAAAGACTTGAATATTTTGTTGGAATTAAAGGAACAGCACTAGACTGGTTTAAATCTGATCTATCTGATCGAATTCAGTTTGTTCATGTTAATGATAGATCTTCAACACGCTCAAAGGTTACCTGTGGAGTACCACAGGGATCAGTGCTAGGACCAATTCTCTTTACTTTATACATGCTCCCAATTGGTAGAATTATTAGACAGCATGGGATTAATTTCCACTGTTATGCTGATGATACCCAGCTATATCTGTCTATAAATCCAGATGAAGCTAACCCATTACATAGATTACAGGCATGTCTTGAAGACATAAAAACCTGGATGACTCTTAACTTTCTGCTTCTGAATGCAGACAAAACAGAAGTTATAGTCTTTGGACCAGAGTCTCTGAAAAAGAAACTGATTAGCCAGTCACTTCATTTGGATGGGATTAAACTGATTTCAGATAATAAAGTAAAAAATCTTGGTGTTATTTTTGATCAGGACCTGTCATTTAGGTCCCATATCAAGGAGGTTTCTAGAATTTCCTTCTTTCATCTGAGGAACATTGCAAAAATTAGAAATATCCTGTCCAGGGGTGATGCTGAGAAACTAGTCCATGCATTTGTTACTTCAAGGCTGGACTATTGTAATTCTTTACTATCAGGAAGTCCACAAACTGTAGTTAAAAGCCTTCAGCTGATCCAAAATGCTGCAGCCAGAGTTCTGATGAAAATTAAAAAGAGAGATCATATCTCTCCTATCCTGGCTTCTCTTCATTGGCTTCCTGTTAAATCAAGAATAGAATTTAAAATCCTCCTTCTCACATATAAAGCCTTAAATGGCCAAGCTCCATCTTATATCAGAGATCTGATTGTTCCTTATGTTCCTAACAGAGCACTTCGCTCTCAATCTGCAGGTTTACTAGTGGTTCCTAGAATTTCTAAAAGTAGAATGGGAGGCAGATCTTTTAGTTATCAGGCTCCTCTCCTGTGGAACCAACTACCAGTTTTAGTCCGTGAGGCAGACACCCTGTCTACTTTTAAGGCTAGGCTTAAAACTTTCCTTTTTGATAAAGCTTATAGTTAGAGTGGCTCAGGTTATCCTGAGCTATCTCTATAGTTATGCTGCTATAGGCTTAGACTTTTGGAGGACATAGGGACCCCCATTTCATCATTCTGCTTCATTCTCTCTCTGTTCTCCTATTCTGCAGAATCTGTTAGTTCAATCTCTAACCTTCTGCTCTCTCTGCTTTTCCTCAGAGTAGCTTTGCCTCGTCTGTTCCTGTTTGGCTGTGACGTCATCCTGGAAAGAAACATCAGCTGTGCTGCTTCTATCAACACCCTTGTTTATAGATGTTGGAGATCGGCCTGTTTTCCAGTGTGGTCCTGTTTCTCTGACCGTGACTAAGTGGATGTGCTTTCTTCGTCCTCTGGCATGGGAGCTGCCTTGGAGCTCGTCTGCCTGGCTGTGTGTTTCCTGGACGGGGCCGCCTTTTACAGCTGCTTTTTGTATCTCTGCTTCTGTCTCCTTGAACCCCAGTGGGCCTCAGCAGATGGCCGCTCACACTGAGCCTGGTTCTGCTGGAGGTTTCTTCCTGTTAAAAGGGAGTTTTTCCTCTCCACTGTCGCTACAAGCATGCTTAGTGTGGGGGATTGTATTTGAGTCAATGAGTCAATGCAATCAACTGGTTTTCCTTAGATAGAAAACTTTGTATCAATTTGACTGTATGATCTGGTTGAACTGTAAAGTGCCTTGAGATGACATGTGTTGTGAATTTGGCGCTATATATATAAACTGAATTGAATTGAAATTGAATTGAATTGAATTGGAGGAACCAAAGTGGATATTGTTTTAAGAGCTTTTCCAAAAACTGATGGTCTCCCCAAGACGATTCAAAAGTTGATTTAGAACAATTTAACAGCTTTCCGTGACGTTAAGTTTCACCTGTGCTTTTATTGTTAAAATCCGACAGCGAGACCTTGACAGGAAATTAACTAGGTTGGCCAGTGGTAACGTGGGTTCATAGCAAAAGGTTTGGGAGGCTTCTGCTAAATTGTTCTCTATGAACCACTTTTGAATCATCTTTGGGAGATCATCAAGTTTTTGAAAAGCCCCAAAAGCTCTTAAAAAAAAAAAAAAAAAGATCCACTTTGGGTCATCCAGATGAAGCTCTGATTCAGTCAGGTTCGGCGGGACTTCCTTCAAAACCTACCCTCAGAAAGCCCTGATGCTGGACAGTGGCAGACTGGGCTCTGTGCTGGAGGTAAGAGAGGATGACCAGTGCTTCCAGGACTAAATTAAAACAGCTGTTTTACAGGCAACTAATCCTCTTGAGAGCATTCCTTATCTTTACCTTTTTAACATTTATTTCTCTGTATTCCATTTTAAGTGAAAAAAGCTTCACCTACAACCAGTCCCTGATTGGCTGCTGTGTCCGGAGTTCATAGAAAAGTTCAGCTTGTAAACTTAAAGGAATAGTACACCCAAAACATGATTAGCCTTCATTTTCTACTCACCCCCATGCTGAACAACACTCTGGAGTACTTTTTTGATATCTCAAATGCATCTGGAGATCTGGGAGGCTTCTTGCTGTCTGCTGACATTCAAATAATGGAGGTCTATGGCGCCCGAGGCAGAAAGGTCCATAAAAGTCCACAAAAAACGTGTCAATATTCCTCCATACTGCTCGTCCAATGTATTCCAAGTGTCCTGAGTTGGTAGCGTCCAGAATTTACTCGAAACGAAGTCATTTAGAATGTTTTTAGAGCATAAACAGTAGTGTATAGGATTTCCTAAAAGCGCGTTCACGAGTCTACGGAAACCGCGGCAGACCAAACCAGATGAAAGTGCGCATTCAGCTCAGCAAAGAACTCATGCTCTTCCTCAACACTGAAGTCCTCAGACATTTTTCTTTCGTTGTTTCTTTCTTTGCACAGGTAAACAGCACATTTCTTCTTCTACGCTTGCATTATCGGCAGAGCAGACGCTGAATGCGCACTTTCATCTGGGTTGGTCTGCCGCGGTTTCCGTAGAGTCGTGAACGCGCTTTTAGGAAATCCTATACACTACTGTTTATGCTCTAAAAACATTCTAAATGACTTCGTTTCGAGTAAATTATGGATGCTACCCACTCAGGACACTTGGAATACATTGGACGAGCAGTATGGAGGAATATTGACACGTTTTTTGTGGACTTTTATGGACCTTTCTGCCTCGGGCGCCATAGACCTCCATTATTTGAATGTCAGCAGACAGCAAGAAGCGTCCCAGATCTCCAGATGCATTTGAGATATCAAAAAAGTACTCCAGTAGAAAATGAAGGCTAATCATGTTTTGGGTGTACTATTCCTTTAAGCATCACAGCTCTGCTCTCTTAACGAGGTGCTGCTGTTTGACAACACCTCAGCTATATCTACTGTAGTAGCAGGAGATGAGAGCAGAGAAGTGAACGCTCTCATCGCGTGGGATTCACCGTCCTTCACCGTGCAGTTTTGTATAGGAATTCTACACAGCTGTCGGTCTGAACAAACAAGAACACATTAGACAGACTGAACACAGATCAACAGCTCCAGGGACGTCAGCTGACCAGCAGCAGAAATCTCAAACCTGTCTTTACCGATTCATATGAAGGATGGACAGGTGACCCACCTGTGGTGCCTCTCTCCAAACCAGATCCATAAGCTGAGACTAGACCAGCTTCTCCAATTTGTCCTGGTTCTCCAACACGGACCTGGAAAGGACTTTCCGGAATGTGAGAGCCGTTAAACTTAACATCAATGGTATGGACGCCGTTCTCCCTGGGGATGAAGCGGATGGCGTATTTATCTGAGGAGAAAAAAGGGCCAAATGGGATCAGATCTCAGATTTAGAGGCGGAGGAGCTTTATTAGCAAACATTACACGGTTAGCATCCAGGAGGTGTGGAGTCGGCAGAAGCCTCTCCTGAATCATGGATGTTGATGTTTTATAGGATCACTGATCTCCTTAAAGCAAACTGGTTCAGAAGCTTGATCTTATACTAGATCCGTGTTTGGGATCTACGCAGCTTCCTCCAAACATTCTTCTAGTCAAACATCTCTATCTGGCCTGCGCAGAACACATGTCTCCACGAGACGAGTGCTGGTTGTGGGACTCCTCCAGTTTCCAAGTTTCTGCTTAAAGGGGAACACCGTTTTTTTTTTTTTTTTGTACATTGGGCCCTTGATTTTATGTTATTACATCATGTACTACTCGTCCATATGACGGATGACATCATACACACACCCGTTTGTGTGTCCAAAATATAACCGTGGATGTCTGGGGGACAGTGATTGGCCTCCATGTTCTGAATGCTGGCGTTCCATAAAGAATAAATGATGAACAGTTTAGTTTTTGCCTTCAAGTCGTTGCCCATAGGAAGACGTTACTTGGATATAACCTAACGGAATATCTTCAGAACGGCTCCAAATGACACAAACGAGTAGAACCAGATGTAATAACTTAAAATCAAGGACCCAATGTAAAAAAAAACAACGATGTCCCCCTTTAAGCGGGCCAGTTTGACAGCACTACATAATACTTTAAAGCCCAATCTGTACCAAACCAAAGCTTGTTGATGCTACAAAAGCCTCACGTCCAAGGCAAAGATTGCTGGGGGGGCAGTAATTTATCTGAGGGTATAACTTTCAGCCTCTGGGTCCATTCTCATTTTTGAAAGTAATCAACATTTTTCATTAAAATTATACAGGGAGGATTTACGACAGGATTAAATTACCAATGGTTCTTCTTGACTAATTCTGACAGGCATTGATGCTCCTTCGGTCCTGGATGAAATGTTTCTTTAAGGTTTGTAATGCTAGAAACTGAGTCGTACTGCAGTGAAAATTTGAACTGGAGCCATCAAAGCACACACTGACCTTTCTCCAGCTCCGTGACCGCACACTTCTCCAGAGCTCCAGAAGGACTGTGGACTTTGGCCTCCAACTTGCCCTGTGCTCCATTCAGACGCACCGCAAAGGATGCTGGGTGATTGACCTTTAGACCGGACTCCTGATGAGTGTGGACAGAAGACATTTCAAACATGCTCCGCTTTCATGTGGGACTTCTCCTAACGTAGCTGCAGCAGAGCCAGAGAGCCACAGTGGAAGTCTGCTTATAAAACGCCTACAGTGTTTTTAAAAAGGGTCTGGATTCCACATTTAGGATCCAAGTGCAAAACTGAAATTAACTTTTCAAAGGAGACAGGAAATGACTTCAATATTTAGTTCAAAGTAAGTTTTGGAAAAATGTTGAATGTTTAAACGAGTAAAAGGAAAGTCTGAGCGTCGCAGATAATGCAACATTACAGCCATCTAGTGGACATAATGCTCAATGACAATAGTTGTAATTAATATTTTCATACTGTTAAAGGAATAGTACAACCAAAACATGATTAGCCTTCATTTTCTACTCACCCCCATGCTGAACAACACTCTGGAGTACTTTTTTGATATCTCAAATGCATCTGGAGATCTGGGAGGCTTCTTGCTGTCTGCTGACATTCAAATAATGGAGGTCTATGGCGCCCGAGACAGAAAGGTTAATAAAAGTCCACAAAAAACGTGTCAATATTCCTCCATACTGCTCGTCCAATGTATTCCAAGTGTCCTGAGTGGGTAGCGTCCATAATTTACTCGAAACGAAGTCATTTAGAATGTTTTTAGAGCATAAACAGTAGTGTATAGGATTTCCTGAAAGCGCGTTCACGAGTCTACGGAAACCGTGGCAGACCAAACCAGATGAAAGTGCGCATTCAGCGTCTGCTCTGCCGATAATGCAAGCGTAGAAGAAGAAATGTGCTGTTTACCTGTGCAAAGAAAGAAACAATGAAAGAAAAATGTCTGAGGACTTCAGTGTTGAGGAAGAGCATGAGTTCTTTGCCGAGCTGAATGCGCACTTTCATCTGGTTTGGTCTGCCGCGGTTTCCGTAGACTCGTGAACGCGCTTTCAGGAAATCCTATACACTACTGTTTATGCTCTAAAACATTCTAAATGACTTCGTTTAGAGTAAATTCTGGACGCTACCCACTCAGGACACTTGGAATACATTGGACGAGCAGTATGGAGGAATATTGACACGTTTTTTGTGGACTTTTATGGACCTTTCTGCCTCGGGCGCCATAGACCTCCATTATTTGAATGTCAGCAGACAGCAAGAAGCCTCCCAGATCTCCAGATGCATTTGAGATATCAAAAAAGTACTCCAGAGTGTTGTTCAGCATGGGGGTGAGTAGAAAATGAAGGCTAATCATGTTTTGGGTGTACTATTCCTTTAAATATATTGTGGAGGATTTTCCCGAATAAAAAAAAAAAAAAAAAACAACAATGCACAAATTTGGGAGCGGGTACCCGCTCCCAAATTTTACGCCTATTAAACATGTGCGAGCGTGCACGAGCCCATTTCTCCTCGTGCACGCTCCGTTTAAAGGTTTCTGTTTGCCTCGCTCATACAAGCTTACTTTGCAAAAGATTTGCAATTTTTCCACTATGTCAGACTCACCACTGGTAAGTGAAAATGGGGACGAGCACATAAGGCGGCCTTACGTAAACATCTCACCAGGATGATTAACAATTAAGAGGACCACTTATTTAGATGATCCAACCGTAAAAACATCCTCCACAATTACTTAAAAATTACTTCTAAATCTCCTTACAAATGAAACTTACTCAACTGAACTTATCACTGAAAAACGTTTTACACCGAGAACCAGAAAAATGAAAGACACAGAATCTTTCAGGTTCACAGAGGCCTTCACAACGTTTTCAGATTAAATATTCAAATCTGTCATTTTTTTGTACAGTTTTTTTTTTATAATTGTAAAATGAATGTGCTTGGTGATTCAGGATGAGGATCCTATTCTCCTGTTCATGCAATATAAACTCAGATTGCAGAACATAATACATGTGAGTCAGCAGGATGCATGGAGGGGGCCTGCTGCAGTCAGAGCCGATGGTGGCGCTGTTAAAAGCCTTTAAATGAAACACAAGAGAAACACCAACAGTTCCACACCAAAGTAACGGAGGGATGACCAGAACCAAGCAAAGAAAGCCAACTTTATCCTACTTTAAAAAAAAAATTCATTGCAATTAATTCAGTTTAACTTTGAGAGTTTCCTTTATTAAAAGACAAAAGTTTTATTCTGTTTTATATTCTTTGTTTTTCTAATTCTTGGCTGAGTATAAAAAGATTGGTGAGCTTAAAGCAAAGAGTTTAGCTTCTACTTTTCTAAAATGGCGACAATGGCGTTTGCTTGGCTTTGGTCACTTCCATGGGAGCAGCTGCATAAAGCGACATTCAGCATTTTCTGATCGCACCACTGACCAACTTGGAGAGAGCGACTGATGTGGGCCATTTTGAAGAATAATTTGGGATTTGAAAAAGGACAATGCTTAAATTTACTGTAGATTTTCTCCAAATTATTATAAAACTAAATGGTCGCAAAGCTTGTTCTCAGCCGAACCCTCCCAGCAAATCCATCAGCTTCACAAAGGAGCAAACGGGTTTTTATGCAGCTGCTCTCCAGAGCAGGAAAGGCGGGTGTGGAGGTGTCTCCTCATGCCTCACCTGAAGGCCGGCAACAGTGAGCCGTCGGGCATCGTTCACCGGAGCCACAACAGGAACCAGGTAGGGGCTGTCAGGGATGTGCTGCTCATTAAACTTCACCGAGATCTCATAATCACCTGCAGAGGAGGGAGAGCCAATGTTAGCCACAGTTACCGTCTAGCAACAGCATTACATCCTCCGTCTGTGTGCCATCTACCAGGCTCCTGAGCTACGTAGGAGATGCCGCAGGATCCATCTTTGCGGTCATCGAAGGAGATCTCTGCCCTGCTGGGTCCCTCCATGGAGATGGACAGACCACCGGCTCCGGCCTCCCTCGTCCAGATGCTGAACTCCGCTGGAGATCGTGATGAGAACGTGTCAGTTAGAGAGAGTTTGGTTCACCCACTAAATGGGGGAACACTAAATGTTCTGGGGGAATGTTCAGTACCTGGCTCTCCAGCCACAGCTCCTTCCAGGCCTTTACCCCCGGCTTGCACTTTGCTGGCTCCGCCCTCTCCTAGTGGTCCAACGGTGAACTGGAAAGGACTGCCTGGTACGTGCACACCCCTGTACTTTACGTCAACGTTGTGCACGCCCATCTGTGTGGGCACAAACCGCACGCAGTAGGTGTCGTTGCCCATGGAAACCAGCTCAGTGGGCTGACTGGTTCCGGACGGTGAGGTGACCTCAGCGGTGATGTCCTGTGTGTCCAGGGCTAAGAAGAGACAGAGCAATGGCTTCACATTCAGAGAACATGTCTGCCTGCACCGATCCGCAGCGTGGAGCTGGTTCTTTACCAGTTCCTGTAACCAATTCAAATGACTTCAATCAATCCCACAGTGGGGACAGAGTGTTTAGCAGAAATGTTCATGAGCTTCATCCTGGACATCGTAATGGTCCTTCTAACATAAAGCTGATCCGTCAGGCCAGAGTAACGAAGATCATCAAGAGAATTACAGCTTCTACGTTTCTGGCTCCTAATTTTTCACTGAACCGATTCAGACAATTGCTCTATGATCATGGAACCAAACGGTGGAAAAATGAGTCTGAGGAGGATAGTAAGTCAGTCACCATCAGCTAGTCTCTGCGATTTAAACACCTCCCAACCAATACATGGTGCACTCGTGCCCTCCAGCTCTCATTCTGTACCACTTCGAAGCCATTTGCCAGGTGCGCTAATGCTAAACTTGGTAAATATTTAAATTCTCTATTCAGAATAAAACCAGTAAACTCTGCTTTCCCTCTGAGCTCCTTTGCTTTCTCTGGTTCTGATCAAATTTTTCCCCATTTTGCTTTTTTTCCGTTTAGCCCTTTAGCTCCCACCTTACCTGTGAACTGTGATGTCACTGGCGTTGATGTTTGTATGTATAACGAATGTGCATTTTGCCTTACCTATTTTTTAAAATGTCCTTATTAATAATATGTTTTCATATTTTCCAATTCTTTCTATGGATCAGAGGCACGTTGCACTAGGCCAGCTTAACTTACTGGGATTCCTCCCAGTCTAGCTTGTCCACAACGAAGGCAATCAGGACCAGCAGTCCCACCAAGCTGGCACTGTTTAATTCAGGAACTCGGGTAAACAAAGTCGATATGTCAACTCCCGCTCCACATAAGTGGAGACAAAATGAAACAAAGCACATCAAAGGCTATGTTTGCTGTAAACTTTGCATACTTTGCAGGTTGATCGCCCCTCTAAGCCTGTGATAAGGAACTTATTGTGATATGCAGGTCTAAGAAGTAATGTTACTAATGCCGTTACCTTGTTTGAGTAACGAGTAAACTAATTACTTTGACTGTAACTATAACGCAGTTACCACTGCCGACACCCCGTTACTGCGCGTTACTCAGGTTGCACAATGAACCTTTTTTCATGATAGGACTCGTGCGCGCCTTGTCATGAGAGAGGGGAGGATGAGAATGTCTGATGTATATTGAGATTCCGTCTGTCAGTTGGGTAGGTGGGTGTTTCTGCTGGCGGGTGTTAACGTACAGCACACACAGAGAGATGGAGAGTGAGGAGGACTCCAGCAGCAAAAAAGCGTTTTCCAGATGGAAATACCGGTGTTACGTCACATACGGTTTCTCCTGCATCTCCGCACAGCGCAGGCGGCACGATTCACCGCGCAAGCGACAGGAAACGCGCATGCTCGCTAAAGGCGCGCAACAGCCGCCCTGTGCTCGCGCCACAGGAGAACTATGGAGAGCGTGAACGATCAAATGATAGCCTGGATGGATGGATGGATGGATGGATGGATGGATGCTCTGCCTTTTCAATATTTTTTATTTTAAACATTATTTGATGGCCTTTGTGGCAGGGATGGAGATCCATATTTTATGTCACACACAGAGTATAGATCTAGATAGATAGATGATAGATAGATGTTGCAGTATCTATAACAACCCAAACACACAGGATTTCAGAATTAGACATCCCCAGTTATTAATTTCATAAACTCACCAGATCTGATCGCCCTGTTAACAAACTTCACATGGCGTTCCCCCCTGATGTCATTGACGTTGAGTTGCAATAAATGCTAAACTGTCTGCAGGTTCTTGTCTTTGTCGTCCGCTCTATTCAGCTGGCTTTGGAAACACACGGCGAGAAGGTGGGGGCCGGGTGATGAGGGTTACGGGGGCGAGAAACGCAAAAGTAACGCAATAGTTACTTTTACTAGTAACTTGTTACTTTTATTGTGGAGTAACTCAATTACCTTTTGGGAGAAGTAACTAGTAACTATAACTAATTACTTTTTCAAAGTAACGTGCCCAACACTTGTTAGAGTGCTCTTTTTTGTCCTCTATGGACTGCCAGGGTTTGTCACCGGTTCTCTTCACTACATTCATGGACAGACGGACGGACGGATGTTTTCTAAAGCAAGGAAGTCTGTCGAAGGTGAAAAAGGGACCAATGGGTGAATTAAGCTAGCCTGACGTAGTCCGACTCAATTCTAGTCAGAATGAGTCGGACTCCGCACTCAATTGGATAGACCTACAACCAATAAGAGCAACGGAGTGCGTGACGTAGGTTAAGCGACGCATAGTTGTTGTCAACAAAAATCAAAGCGTGCAGTTGAACGCCTAGAATAAGAAGATGAGCCTTGATCACGTTTCTCTGTTCCTCTTTTAAAATTAATTTGCTGTCGATATCTTCTAGAACAGACCTAATAGCAGAATCTACACACCTAAACTCTCCAGCGGCAGCCATTGTTGTTGTCACCCAAGCGGGCATTGATCACGTGGTTGATTACGTTACTGTTGGTCATCTGTCCATCATCGTATAAAGCCCGCCCTGACAATTTGATTGGATCGCCTGACAGTAGGTGATCATACTCGCGCTACTATGGAGCAAAGCCAGACCGAACTTCTCGACCTCAAACTTTGTGAGCGGGACTAAGTTCGGAATGGCACCCAGGCTAGAATTAAGCTGCTCTGCTTTGTGTTTCGTGCTCATTCTAACCCTGATTCAGCATTTCTACTGGCCTGATGAATGCATTCCAGTTTGGGAATGTGCTGCTACCAGCATCCAACTCTACAGAGGAAGATTGAAAACCACCAAACTAAAGATTTTAATTTCTTTACATGGTTTTGAACCAGAGTGGAACCAGAGTTGGTTCTGAAATTAATGCAAAAAAACAAAAATCACTCCAAGTACAGCTGGAATTTATAAAAGGCTTTTCAAACCTTGCAGTCAGTGCTTTATAACGCACCCTCCACACCGGGGCTCCCAGCTGGTCGGGGAGGATCCAGAACCCAAACTCCCCTTGCTGCTCCCCCGAGAACCAGACCAGACAGACCAGAAATGAGGCGCACCCCGCTCTGAGAGGAGCTCTGATCCTGGGAGTCAGCGGAGGGACAACCAACTCGACCTCCACACCACCAGAGGGAGCGGTTAGAGCAGAAGGTAGAGCGTGAAAGGCGCTGCTGAGACAAGACCAGGAGGAACCAACTAGCTGGAAAGGAAAGAAGAAGGGAAGAGTGGAGAGAGAGAGGACAGAAAGAGTAAATAAAGAGAAGCTGAGGATCAAGAGAGATGAAGAAGATGGGAAGAAAGAAAAAGATAAACACAAAAGACACTAAAGACACTAGAAGTCTGACTGAAAAAGAATAAAGTAGGAAACCAGGCTGAGAAGTTCTGATCCAGGCCACCTGGTACCGGGCTGAGAAGTATGAGAACCTGTCACACAACATGAGGTAGACAAAGGTACGTGGGCTAAAGGCTGATTTATACTTTGAAACTATGTCATCTGTGTAGGTGTCGCAGTGAGTAAAAAGATGTCCCCGCCCCCTTCCACAGACAGCGCCGTTGACATGAGGCTGGCTTGGTTTTTTTATGAACGAAAATGTGGAAAACAACTCGTGAAGTTTGACCAGCTAGAAGAGCGAGGTGCGCGAAAACGCTGGGACCCTTTTTCCTCCTAGATCCCCGCTCTTTTTCGCTGTCATGTCCTACGTTGTCGGACAAACTTGGCGATCGGAGGAACCATTCATCATCTGAGGGGCCTCTTACCGGGTATCTTCAGGTTGAGGTCACACACACCGCCGACGCTGACAACAGATGCCGCCTTCTGACGCCGGGTGATGCTCTCCCGGATCCGACCTTCACCGGTCACCCTCACTGTGAACGGACTTCCTGTTGATAAAACGCGGACAGCTGGATCAATGCTCTAGCCTGCAGCAGGATATCTGCAGCTCTGAGCGTCATTTCTAGCTGTTCTTGCCTGGAACGTGTTCCTCTGCAAAGCGGATGGACACAATATAGTTTCCAGGTTCAGTGGGGCAGTAGGTGACTCCACACGTCCCATCCTCCATGTCCTTTGTCTGAATGTCCACCTTGCTAGGACCTTCAATGGACAGAGCCAGACCACCATAACCTGTCCAGAGACACAGATCCCGTGTTTAGGGTGAAGGGCTCCATGTCGGCGCCATCAGACAGAGCGCTGAACTGACCCGCCTCCCGTGTGTCGACTACAAAGTCAGCGTTGGTGAAGGTGCTGGCCTCCACCAGACCGTCTCCGTGAACTTTGACTCGTCCGGCGTCTCCGATCTCAGACTGGACCACCATGATGGTGATGGGGCTGTTGGCGATATGGTGGCCATTCTTCAGTATGCTGACCTGGTGCTCACCCACCTCCCGAGGGATGAAGGAGATGCCTGCCGAGGTAAATGACAATAAGCAGACTGCTGGGTGTGTTCTACCTACAATATGGGGTAATTCAACTGCTGTCCTTTGAGCTGGGGTTAGGTTTAGGACTAAGGTGTGGATTCGGTTTGAGTCAGGATTAGGCCCATGTTGGTAATGGGCAGGCTTAGAGTGAGGGTCTTAATGTAAGCCAATGAAAACAAAGCTGTGAGTGTTACCAATGTGGTTGTTTGCCATCCTCTTTAGCAGGCAGGGCTCATCCTGTCCTGAAGGCGATCTGATGCTGGCGGTCAGCACACTCAGGTCGCTCTCATTGATGTCCAGACAGAAATCTGCTGCTGAGCCCAGTTTGACCTGCGAGCGGCGCTGGTTGTCCTCTGGAGGCCCGAGACAGGAGGAGAAAGAATTATGTCATATGAATGAGCACTGGAGCTATAACCTGCCACAATGCATTGCTCCACCTTCTGAAGTTAATGCATAGATCACAATTCTCCGTTTAACAAAATACAAGAAATAAAAATAGATTTCTGCATCGTCACAAAACATCTTTATATGAACTGGATGAAGGTTCAACTAGGTTAGATGTTGCTAAGGACCACTGAGCATGCTAATATCTAGATGACCATCCAGTGCCCATCTGGCTGATTTCTCACTAAATGATGAAGAACATTTTACAGTAATGATGATGTCACTGATCATTACTGAAAATAAAAAAACAAAAATGAATCGGTGAGACATCTGCAACCTAAAAACTGGAAAATGTTCTGGTTAACCTTTTTTAGCAAACAGTGCTTAATTTTCTTTATCGTCATTTCATGGCCTTTCCCTACTGCTGCTCCTTCATTGGACGGCCTGCTGTAGGAATGAAGCTTCAGAGGAAAAAATTTTCAGTTTGTCTCTGAACAATATGGGCCTGGTCATGAGTGTGTTGATGCGGGTTCTGACCGGTGATCCTTGCAGTAAATGGGCTGCCCTCGATGTGATCATCGTTGTATTTAACCAGGATGTTGTAATCTCCGGGCAGCGTGGGAAGGTAGCTGACGCTGCATGTTCCGTCTTTGTTATCCACGCAGCTAATCTCCGCTTTGGACGGACCCTCAATAGCTAGGTCCAGACCTCCTGGACAAAGAGGTGTTATTAAGTAACATACACTCAAACAGGCAAAACTGAAGCTTAAGAAATGTATCTATGTGAGGTGACAAATCTCTCCTGTAGCTGCTGTACCTTCAGAGGCATCGTCTGTGAAAACGGTGAACATTGCCACCTTGTTGGCGGTGCCGTAGCTCAGTCCAGGACCGTAGGCCGTGACATTGGGACTGCTGGTGTCGTTGACAAAGAACTGAAGAGGCGACTCTGCAAGGAAAATAGACATTGAATCCTTCCTGCCTTCGATCTAACCTTTCCTTCTGAATATTTGAATAGAAGGAATAAAGGCGCGGCCTTTAAAACGAATACATCTGCACTGGAAACGGTTTCCCATTTTAAATTGCATGTTTCTACGTATGTGAATGAACAGGTTGTAGTTCCGTCGCTGGACAGCAGGTGTCTCCAAACTCAAATGTCCAGCTCAGGAATCATTGAAGTAGTGGAGAAACGGCTGTTCCAACTGTTGCATTTGCAAATTCTCCCGAGAGGTGCCCGACTTTACACGAGAGAATAAAGTGAATGTGATTGGTCGTTCATCAAGGGTGAAGAATGTTGCGGCGGAAGGTTTGCAAGCAAGTTTGGTTGTGGGCGATGTCACGGAAGAGTCTTGCTAACTAGTTACCAACTTAATGCTAGTAGGTTTCCAATGGGAAATTCCATTGGGACCAAGTAGCACTAAATTGGTGACTTAGAAACGACGCTGTCAAGGAACGCTATGGACAGCGGAAACATGCAAGAGGAGGAGAGTTTAGTGTCGGAGGTCGTGGATGAGTCTCCTCCGTCATCCATTTTTTATTTAGAGGAGGAAAGCGGGGACGAAGATGTTGTGGAAGAGGACGCCAGGGCGGCAGAAGCTTGGTTTGGTGTAGAAGGCTTCCAGCCGTACATGTTCGAGCCCTTGCCTCGCAACGCTGCCAGTTCTGTTAGCTCTACGCCTGCTGAAGTTACAGACGTCCATCCCCGTGAACACTGGGACGCAACTCAATGGGAAAGGATTCTGATTTCAACCGTTGCATATATTAGCGGCGACATATGAATCAAGATGCTATGACCGAAAAAATGTGATTGACAGATAGGGATGGGAATCGAAAACCGGTTCCTGTTCAGAACCGGTTCCGTATTTTTCGATTCCATGGCATCGTTTGGCAGCTCGCTGAATGATTCTTTTTTCGATTCCCGCAGCACCAGAGCCGAGAGCGCCGGCTCTGGGGAGCACGACTTACGTCACGTTTTTTACGTAAGTTACGCAACTTACGCAAGTTACGCAAGTTGGAAGAACTATTCGAGGAGGAAGACAACGTGCTGCGGTCACTTTGTGAATCAAAGCCCCGTCTTTCCTTAGCCCAGAGGGTAGATCAGGAAATCCAGCTCTATAAAAGCTTGCCCTCCATCCCCTGCAGGGATAGCGCCACACTGTGGTGGTGGAACAAGCAAGATACGCTGCCCTTGCTATCTGGACTGGCTGAAAACTACCTCTGTGTGCAGGCTTCCTCCACCCCATCTGAGAGGGTGTTCTCCACGGCTGGAGACACCATAAGCGCTGAAAGATCCCGTATCCTTCCAGAAAAAGCAGATATGCTCATCTTTCTGCAAAAGAACTGTTAATTTTCCCTACTACTGTTTTATAATTAGTATTTTTTGTTATTTAAAATAGGTTATTATCCCATCATTTGTTATTAGACATTGTTGGTTATTAAGTTTGTTCTTCTATTCATTTTTCATTTAAACACAGATGTTACTCCAGTTTCACATTTCCTGTGGACATCTTGATCTTTTTGAGTTTGTAAGATTGTGCAATAGTTAAGTAAACAAAGTTGATTCTGATAATCAAACTGTTTGTTCTCCTTTTTCCCCCAAATTGGAATCGAAAAAAGAATCGATTAAGAATCGAATCGTTTCATAGAATCGAAAAGGGAATCGGAATCGTGAAAATCTTTTCAATTCCCAACCCTATTGACAGATGACCGTTGATATATGATTGGCTGAATTTAGGTGTTCAGGCTGACGTAGAACTAACTGGCCTGCAGAAGATAACGACAAAAAAAAAACTGATTTTAAGACATTTTGGTCTGATAAAGAGAACATTTATATAGATGTTTAAGCCAGAATGATTTGACATTTAAATATGAGTTCCATACGACATTAAACATGCCAATCAGTGTGTCAAGACTGATTGGTACACTGTGGGTATGAATATGAGGTCATTCTTACAGATCTGTTGGTATGAATAAACAACATAGTTATCAGAGCTCAACATTACATGTCTCCTTATGACGTCCTTTAGGAACCCTTACATATGTTGCTTTTAAATGGGACCAAAATATGGTGACATGTAATGTGAAAATATGACCGCCGGTGGTCACATTTACTATACCAGTACCGACCTGGGATATGTGTGCCATTGTACTTGATGTGCATCTCGTGCAGGCCGGCCTGAGTGGGCGAGTACTGAACAGTCACCGTCCCATTCATGTTGTCTGTGATCACAGGCTGGGCAGATTGTCCTGAAGGCATCAACACCTCCCCTGGAGAGGGAACCATAGCAGAGTAAAGGGATCATCTCCTCTCCTGCCTCTTCAGTGTCTAATTTAAGCCCCTTTTATTCCAGATGTGCATTCATCTACATATTACACCACATGCATTAACATTTCCAGCGACAATCTATATGTTTTGTCCAGAACATGTACCAGTGATTTCTCCTGTCCTGAAGGAGAACGGTATGATCATGTCAAATGGTCTGAAGCCGCTGCCATTCAGGTTGCTGCTGACTGGCTGGTAGTTTTCTGATGTCACCTGGAGGACAAGCAGGTAGACAAGGAATCAACAACACGCTCTAGAACTGTACTGGAAGCATGCTGCCCGTACAGGAGCATTATAGGAGGTGCAGAGCAGTGAAGCAGTAAGGAGGAAGACAAGTGTAGCGATGATGATAATGATGCAGCCAGTAAAGCCTCCACAGCTATTCCACCATGCTGCCATCCCATTGGCTGAGAGGCAAAGGGAAGCAATGAGGTGATAAAGGGAAATGCAGCCCAGTGAGGGAACTTGGAAATAGAAAGTGCCAGGTTAGTGCTACACCTGCAGCCGTTCACCTGCAACATAAAAAAAAAAAAAAAAAAAAAGAGTGTGTGCTCTGTCTTGGCATTGGAGTGAGGACGATTCTCCCTAATTTTAATCATCCAATTGAGAACCTGCTGGTCCTCACTTTATTTTTTTCTGCTGGGCTAAAGAATAGGATGGAAACTCACTTTAAGGTAAAGGAGTAGTAAGTCAACTAGTGTTTCAAATCGGAACAACACCCAGAACAGGATGTAGCTAAGTTCAAGATGACAAATTAAGGTCTTTCAGCTGTAGTAGGTTGTTGAGCTAATTCCTTGGGGGAGATGTTGAGGTGCTGTTGAGGCCATTTCTGGTTGGGCTCTCTTGGTCTCTGCCATAACATAAACTTTTTGGTGGCCTTCACTAACCGGTCTATTTCAATAGCACTATCAAAACTTAAAGAAGAAATCATATATAATATGATAAATGGGAATTTTCATAGGCTTAAAAAAAGCGTTTGATACAATTAAGCACGACATCTTATTACAGAAAATGGAAGCAAACTGGATAAAATCCAATCTAAGGGAGAGAGAGAGACACTAAAATAATATGCTCTGGGGAAACATTAAGCAACTTTTGATCCAGATTAATAATGAAAAGGGTAAGTTAAAAAAGGGGGTTCAATAAAAAAATCATCATTGAATGTAGCAAAAACTATATTAATTGTTTTTGACTTCATTGTATGTCCAAATGAAAGTTAAAAATGCCCTGATAAAACGAGTATAGCAGCATACATTTCTGGGTGTAACTCTTGGTCACACATCAGTTGGAAGACGCATATGACCAAAACTCAATTACCGTATTTTCACGACTCAAAGGCGCATATAAACGTCTTTTTTTTTCCTTAAAAATGTGCGGTGCGCCCTATGTGTGTTGTTACTGCGGACGTTGTTGAGACCGCCATGAGAACGATAAAGGGGGAAGTGTGGGGGTGGATTGTGTATAAAAGAACAGGTATGTGCTTTATGCAGAACTCCTCGTCTCCTCATTGAGGAGGTGATGGAAGAGTGGCTGAGGCAGGTGAATGTAAGGAGACCAGGTGGTTTTCTTTGCTGCTTGTACCAGTTAGTTCTGACGCGCGGCTGAAGCAGCTTTGCTGCTCTGGCTGCGCAGTGCAAAGTGTGTCTGACGCGCGTTGGGCGGAGCTAATCTATCTTTTCTCTGCCTTGCAGCTATATTTGCTGTGATCAGTGGGAATAAAGTAGTTTTAATATGTTTTTAAGTGAGAAAATACACCTGAAAACTTAATCAGTGCAGTCAGTTCATCCAGATTACCATCCTGCCTTCCAGTATTATTTCTGTCGGAGCCGCTCAGACCCCCACATACCAGCGCCGCGCCGACAGTAGGAATCCCATTCAACAGCAGCCTCTGGCCGGGTCGCCTCCTCGCGGTTCACGGCGGCGGCTAGTAGGTGTTTTTCATCTAAATAATCTAAACTGCAGGCACCGAGATAATAAAAGCCAACATATTCTGCCGGCAGATTTCTGCATTTTAAGTTAATTTATGCGTCAATAAACTTTTTCAAAGGAGTGATCATAGCGCTCTGTGTCATCAGCGATGTGTCCGTCTCACAGGTTTAATTAATACTTTGTAATAAAACATGTATAAAACACAAACATACCCAGTTTAGCTCCAGCTCTATTTTTAAATACGCAGTAGAGGTATTTAAACGTAGTAGAGGACATTTACCGGTATATAAAACCCGCACCCTATAGTCCGGTGCGCCTTATCTGTGTGTTAAATACAGTAATAGCACACATAACTGAGACTGCGCCTTATGGTCGTGAAAATACGGTATGTGTAGCTAATGGGCAAAGCTAAACATTATCTAACTCTTTTCAGTGTTCAGAAGGAGTTGGAATCAAAGGAAGTCAGTGGGAGTCAACTTATGGTCATCATTACATATAGGAAGACAAAAATGCGCGTTTGTGAGCATTTTTTACCCTTGCTTTGGGACAGAAGGCCAATTTTGTAGGAATATGCTACTTTGTGGTGACTTGCAGCTCCTCATGGGAACCAGAACACTGGTTGCTATGAGAAAAGGTTCTCTTCCAGGATTGGGGTTTAGGGTTAGGTGTGTCTTGGAAAAGGTTGGCGTTAGGTTGAGCATCTGGGTTAGGCCATACAAATGAATATGGAATGAATGGAAGACAATGCCAAGTCCCCATAAAGTTAGGACATAAATTGTTATAACAACAATAACGTCTGGAAACTTCTTTAAGATGCCTATTTACAAAACTTTGTTCTTCATAAGGCCTGTTGGTCCTTAGAAAATGCTCCAACAGGCCTTATGAAGAACAGAGTCTGGTCCTAATGTGGCAGGCCGCCATTGTTTAATTTTAGGGATTTGGTTTAAAGCCCTATTGCCAATTATCTTTTGGTTAGGGTTCCGGGGTAGCTGTTCGGTGTTAGGGGTAGCCGCTGGGGCTACGCACACATGGAATAACTGAATTTATGTAAATTCCTAATATGGATAAAATTGCATGTGTGTTTGTGCGTGTCTGTGTTTATGTGTGTATTGGGGTACCCATGGCTGGAAGCCAGCTCTAGGGGGACCAGCGTGTCTCTGTTTCGCCATCTGCTGTTCCCTGATAGGGACTTCATCAGTAGCCTGAGGACATGATAATAAAGATCATCATTAAACCAATCACTTGGGCTAAACTTTGCAGCTTAGTTTTAGTCAGTTCTATTTTACTATTTACTTTTATTTGTACTTTTAAAAAATCTTAACTGTCCCAGAGAAACATATTTAGATCATAAAACTTCAGTGTATGAGATTCCATGTAACAGACCAACAAAAAGCAGTGGCAAACAAAACCACAGGGTTTAAAAGCTCGCAGCTCATGATGCATGTTCTTACACTGTACGGTCTGACACTGATGCGACCTGCATGTCCAAAAACCACACGTCACACTCGGTGCTGAGAGCTACCGCTGGTCGCAGTCATCAACATGGATGGAGAACTCCCTTGTTTGCACATGTGCAGTGTGCGAGGTTCTAGTAACTCTGCTTCAGCAGCAGGATTGCTCGTGAACACCGCACGAGGTATGAATGAATCTCAAACATGTTCGATTTTTCTCCTGACCTCATGACTCCTGATTGTTAGAGGCTAATCGAACCCTTGTTGTATACTACATGAAGCAGGGCACACAATGAGGCTGAAACTCAGCCCCATCTAAAAAATTCTGGCACGACTAGAAATCTGTCGAAAAGGACAAAAACTGGCAGTGTATGCTCGGCTCTAGAGGTCTGCAAGAGAAAAATCTCCCAGAGCTCAGGTCCATCAATCTAGCTTTGAGGGGGGGATGGAGTAGCTGCAGCCCTAGAGAGAGAGAACCTACTAAGAGGAGCTGCAGAGATCCTCAGCTTAGGTGGGAGAATTCACCAGTTTATGTCGGTCTTCTACTTGGAACCTTGACAACATTTAATAAAGTACAACTGTGTAAATACTTTGTGCTCCAGTCCAGAAGGCGGCTGAATAAGACAGATTTATTGTTTTATCTAGTCAGAAAATAACAGTTAAAGCTTGAGGTGTTGCTTGGTAAAATACACCCTTAGTACATCAATCTCACAAAAAGGAAAAACTTAAAAATTGGATTCAATTGGTTAATAGGATTAGGTCTTTACCCTTACCCTTTCCTGTGAGTTACAGACAAAGATGTACATAAATATCTGAAACTAGATCCACATTTTCAAGCTTCGTGATTAGAGAGGTGTCACTTTAACGAAGCCATTTGTTGCTTTGATTTAACCTACAAGAAATGGAGAAAACAGCCCCCCTCCGTCTCACCATAACTTTGAAGGGACTGCAGGGGATGTTCTCTCCTCCAAATCGGACGTAGATGGCGTAGTTCCCAGGGGCCGGGGCAGTGTAGTAAATATCAAAGGTGCCGTCCTCGTTCTCCAGAACCTCAGCTTCCACTTCTCTGCCGTCGGGCTGAACCACCATACAGCTCACCTTTCCTTTCCCAGCACCCTTTGCGTTGACCACCAGGCCGAGCTCCTCGCCAATGGCCACGGTGGGGCCCACCCCGGGACCTGCGAAGATGGCACCTTTTGCTTCTGCTTGTTTATGCAAAGTGCTTTGTTGTGAGCATCTTGTGCTTCGTTTACCGGTAACCATGCACTTGCTCGCATCTCCGGACGCCGAGGCGCGGACTCTGTAGGGCGACGCAGGGATGTCGTCTCCACCGTACTTAATGACGATGGTGTAGCGCCCCGTCCGGTCAGGGATGTAGGATACCGTGTATGTACCGTCACCGTTGTCATGGATATTTGGCTGCTTGGGTTTGCCATCCTGGTCCTGAGGTAAAAAAAAAACAGACCTTGAGGCATCCTTTCACACACATCGCTTTAACATGTGTGTGTGTGCGTGTTACTGACTGTGATGATCACGCTTAGCTGGCCCTGACCGGCATCTCGGGCGTCAATGTTAAACTGGACTGGAAAGCTGGCGGGGACGCCGCTGGTGAGCCCGGGTCCACTGGCTCGAACTTTACTGGCATCGTGACTGGGCAGCACTCTGAACTTAAAGGGGCTAAAGGAGGTTGGGATGAATCAACAACAACACAGGATCAAAAGCAGTTCATGAATCCACTGAAGAAGAGAAGAGAATGCGGTTGGAAAAGGGCTCAAACAAAGTTTCATAACCTTTTGATTTAGTGGCTTTCAGATCTCAGATGTTTTAGTTTGGACAAACTGCAGGATAGTTTATTTCGGTAGATAACTCTCTACATGCTGGCATTGAAGGATCTGAACTGGACTCATTCCGTCCTGCCCAGGGCTTCCTATTCAGGTTTTTACTACTTCTAGAAACTTTAAGATTGTTCTTTCTGTTCATCGACTTGACGTTTCTGAACAGCACAGGTAGACGGCAAAGGCTCCTCACATCAAAACTGACAATACATTGAAAAATGACCATCTGTAATGAAAATGATAATAATGTAGTCAGCCATTATTATCATGACCATCATGAGCAGCAAAGATATTTTCAAAAAGAAGGCATCAATTGAAAACTAATTCCAATTCATGTGATTCAGTATTTTTCTTTAACACAGATGACTAAACTTTATGGGCAGCAAGTCTCTTTCCAAGAGGAAAAGTCCTGAATCACATGTTAAATATACCTTTTAAAGTAATAGTGATAAAAACATTAATTATCGATAAACAAAAATGATTCTAGAAATTATTTTTTATGCACAGTCCCATACTAGGAAAACATATACTTGCACTAACCTATAGTTTCAGTAACTTTAGCATTTTTCTATAATAAGCCTTAATGTTCAGTCTATTTTTTTCTTTAATATGAAGATATCAGTGGAGATTTCTCATTGAATACCGTAAAAACTCCGCTGTAAATTATTGGTAAAATCTGCAATGTCAAACTTTATTAAATATATCAATATAAATATGAGTATGTTGCGCTTTAATCAGCTGTTTATTTCCCTCTCGGACGCCACCTACCCTCCGCTCTGGAGCAGTAGGACACTGCCTGTCAGCCTCTATCAGAAATCCCTGCTGATATTGGAGCCTCAGTCTATTGTAGTAAGAAAGTAGAGCCCTGATTGGATAACACGTCACTTCCTGTGAGGCTGAACCTCATAGAGGGTATATGGAGCAGGGGTGGGTCTCGAAGCTGGCTGCTGGATGCTGATTGGCCAACATACTGAAGGATTTCTGACTGAAAGTGGCCAGACAGCAAGGAGGTTTACCTTAGGAGTCCAGAGGTAAAGTGATCATTGAGTCAGAGCAGTTGTCAGGTGCTGAAATGTTGCTGTGGTTACTGGAGTTTATTATTTCACAGCAGCTATTTTCACCTGTTGTAATGATGTGTTTGATGGGATCTTTAGGGTTAATTAATACCCTGTTCCAGAGAGCAGCACTGGAAGATTTTTTTTTTTTACCCATTTTTTATTTTCTTCACATAAACGATGTGAATGCAAAGGGATGTTGCGATTACGATGCATCTGAAGATCTGAAGTGGATTTGTTTCAATTTCAGAGAGAAAGAAAATGACTAAATACAAACTGAGAAATGAAATCTAAAGTGGGCAAAGATGCCAGAGTTCCCAGTATCACCCAGACATGTCTGTACCTGCGGGGAATGTCCTCGTCAGCGTATTTAATGGAGACGGAGTACGGTCCTTCCATGGACGGAGTGTAAGACACGCTGTGGGTCCCGTCCCCATTGTCCGTCACCTCCACTGGTTCAGCCAGTCCTTTAGGGCCGTTGACGGCCACCGCCAGAGGGGCCTCGCCTGCCTTACTGCAGTCCACAGTAAAGGATTGTGGGATGTTTGCCCTGACTCCCGATGCCACGCCTGGACCAGAGACCTTGACCTTGCTGGAGTCCACCACGCCTTTCACTGGGACCTTAAATGGACTTCCTGGGAAACAGTGATTGCAGAAGTCATGTTAAATTCAAAAATGAATCGGCATCTTTTTAACACCTGAAGCTGACCACTAGGGGACCCACCATGTATGTGCAACAGCAAAGCAATGGAGCAGGATTTCTCAATGCTGGTTTTCAGAGACCATGTCTTTGTGTTTAGATGTGCAGAGAATAGATCATTGGTAGCCAACGCTGCAGAAGCCTGCCATCCACCAGCCCACTCAACTCAGGTTTGAGGAAGCAGGAAAACCTGCTAAAACCTTCTAAAAACATGCAGGACAGTGTCCCAAGGGACCAGGTGCAAGGAGCCCTGCTAACTAACATATAAACTTAAACAACAGGGGATCAGAGGAAAAAGTATTCCCAAAGTCCCCTGAGATGGATAGGTCATTGAGGTCGTCTGCAGGGGGAGTCTTTCCTTACAGGATGATCAGATCATCAATAGAGGGGTCATGGTGGGTCATCCATAATGTGGTGACATGTGGGGTCCTGTCTGTGGCAGTGGTAGCAGCCGGGGGTGGCAGGGGTGGGTAATCTCATCGCATAGGAAAACAAAAAAAAACAAAAAGTCTATCATTGAATAGGGCTCCCTAAGCCCACACCCCTCCAAATTTCACATTTAGCACCTGGCTGCAGGCTGCTGTTTAAAGGAAAAGTCGCTCATATTCAGAATTCAAACTTCTTAAAGTTCTTTAAATCTGAAATGATTCCATCCTGTTCAATAAATGATCAGTGTTTTTAATTCAGAGTAATTTTCATGTGAATGTGCTTTACTGGAGGCATCCATGTTTGTCAAAGAACACTACTGCCACCTACTGGTTTGTGACGTCACGGTGTGGTATCGGCTGTTGATCAAGTCCCAGTGCTGTATCTGGTGTTTGTCACAACGCGCTATTATCCAAGTCATCTTGAAAACATTCTTCTTCCAAATGTTGGCTACATATTACGGGTTTTTTCTCTGGCCAGAAGTTCGATGGCAAATCCTCCCTCTTCAAGTTGGCGATCCAACGACCAACCCGTCCGTGGAGGATCAGGAATCAGAAAGGTGGAATAACTCTTTTTTTTTCACTTTTACCCGATGTATTCCAGCATCCAGCTGCCATGCACGTGGGCATTGTCAGTTTCACTATAGCTCTGGTGAATTTCAATGGTGAAGTCCTCTGGAAATCTTCAATAATTGTTGTTGATTGCAGATGTGTCTAGTAGTTCCCATTGATTTAGCTTGGAAAGCGGGGAGAATGGCGCTAGGCTTACCGCACCGTGACGTCACTGCTGGAAGATGGCAGGAGGGAGGGGCTACTATACAGGTGCTGGTCATAAAATTAGAATATCATGAAAAAGTAGATTGATTTCAGTAATTCCATTTAAAAAGTGAAACTTGTATATTATATTCATACATTACATACAAACTCATATATTTCAGATGTTTATTTTGTTTAATTTTGATGATTACAAATGACAACAAATGAAAATCTCAAATTCATCATATCAGAAAATTAGAATATTGTGAAAAGGTTCAAAATTGATGGCCCCTGGTGCCACACTCTAATCAGCTAATTAACTCAAACCACCTGCAAAAGCCTTTAAATGGTCTTTCAGTCTAGTTCTATAGGCTACACAATCATGGGGAAGACTGCTGACTTGACAGTTGTCCAAAAGACGACCATCGACACCTTGCACAAGGAGGGCAAGACACAAAAGGTCATCGCTAAAGAGGCTGGCTGTTCACAGAGCTCAGTGTCCAAGCACATTAATAGAGAGGCGAAGGGAAGGAAAAGATGTGGTCGAAAAAAGTGTACAAGCAAGAGAGATAACCGCACCCTGGAGAGGATTGTGAAACAAAACCCATTCAAAAATGTGGGGGAGATTCACAAAGAGTGGACTGCAGCTGGAGTGAGTGCTTCAAGAACCACCACACACAGACGTATGAAAGACATGGGTTTCTGCTGTCGCATTCCTTGTGTCAAGCCACTCTTGAACCACAGACAGCGTCAGAAGCGTCTTGCCTGGGCTAAAGAGAAACAGGACTGGACTGCTGGTGAGTGGTCCAAAGTCATGTTCTCTGATGAAAGTAAATTTTGCATTTCCTTTGGAAATCAAGGTCCCAGAGTCTGGAGGAAAAGAAGAGAGGCACTTCATCCACGTTGCTTGAAGTCCAGTGTAAAGTTTCCACAGTCAGTGATGGTTTGGGGTGCCATGTCATCTGCTGGTGTTGGTCCATTGTGTTTTCTGAGGTCCAGGGTCAACGCAGCCACATACCAGGAAGTTTTAGAGCACTTCATGCTTCCTGCAGCTGACCAACTTTTTGGAGATGCAGATTTCATTTTCCAACAGGACTTGGCACCTGCACACAGTGCCAAAGCTACCAGTACCTGGTTGAAGGACCATGGTATCCCTGTTCTTAATTGGCCAGCAAACTCTCCTGACCTTAACCCCATAGAAAATCTATGGGGTATTGTGAAGAAGAAGATGCAATACACCAGACCCAACAATTCAGAAGAGCTAAAAGCCACTATTAGAGCAACCTGGGCTATCATAACACCTGAGCAGTGCCACAGACTGATCGACTCCATGCCACGCCGCATTGCTGCAGTAATGCAGGCCAAAGGAGGCCCAACTAAATACTGAGTGCTGTACATGCTCATACTTTTCATGTTCATACTTTTCAGTTGGCCAACATTTCTATAAATCCTTTGTTTTTATTGGTCTTCAGTAATATTCTAATTTTCTGATATGATGAATTTGAGATTTTCATTTGTTGTCATTTGTAATCATCAAAATTAAACAAAATAAACATCTGAAATATATGAGTTTGTATGTAATGTATGAATATAATATACAAGTTTCACTTTTTAAATGGAATTACTGAAATCAATCTACTTTTTCATGATATTCTAATTTTATGACCAGCACCTGTATTTGGGAAAAAATGGCCAACGAACGTAAAATGGCGTAACGAACATTATTATTTTTATTTTTTTACTGATTAATGCTAAATTCATTAAATCACCGTGAACATATTAGTTTTAGGTATAAATATTGATCCATTGATTATTCCTTGCTGACCAGACTTTTCCATTAAATGTGATGTTTTCCCTTTTCTTTCACCTCCATGAAACCTGAGTTAAGGTACCTGCAGTACCTCTGAGACCTGATAGGGGGTCTCGGCCCCTCGCTGAAGACTCCATGGTGTTAATTGAAGTTCTTTAACGGTGGACTAATTGCTATTTTTATTGCATGTTTGAAGCAGAGATTAGTTTTAAACGCTTGGAGTTTTTTTATTTATGGTATCCTTCAGAGCCATTGGTTAAATACAACAGCTCACAAATTCAACAGCTGGCCTCAACTCTGCAGATATAGCAGGAGGACTAGCTCTGTCATGGACTAGGAAATGATGAAGACCTGCTGTGGAAGTTAAGGCGAAGAGCAGCTGATATTAAAACTTTAAAAGATCAACCTTCCAGATGTGTTTCAGAGTGGAATCTATCGACATGTTTGCAGGCAACAGAACAAACAACACAAACGAACCACAGGCGGATCGTTAAAAGGCCTCAAATAAGGAAACACGCACTTTATCTGAACAAAGTCAATAAAACCGAGCCGTGTTTTCAGATCAGAGCTGCAAACCTTCAACCACATCTTTGAAGCATTAAAGCTGGACACGCCACACGACATTAACGAGGCAAAAGCGATCCAACACCATCAGAACATGAGGAAGTGATGGGAGCAAAGCCAACAATGTTTCAATTAAGATGGATTCAAGTCTTAAAGAAACACATCATAACCATAATCATTACTTCCTGACTGACGGTCAACCTGCTGACTAATGTGATCTCCGGCTTGACCTCACCTGGGACATGCTCTCCTCCGTAGGTGATGTTGACATCATAGAGGCCTGGTGTGTAGGGAACGTACTCCACGCTGCAGCTGCCGTCTTTGTTGTCTTTGCACGACATCTTGGACTCAGACGGACCCTCCACAGTGATGCCGAGGCCACCGATTCCTGCCCCTCTGTGGGAAGTCACAACATCGTGAGGTTTTAAGGCTGGTAAAGTAAAGTGAGCAGACTTTTAAGGTCAGATAATGTGAAGCACCTTGTGATGATGTTGAAGGTGTTGGTCTGGTCTGTCAGGGCCTGATGAAGTCCTGGGCCGGTGGCCACCACCCTGCTGGAGTCACACCCCTCAGTAACGGACACTCTGAAGGGGCTCTGGGGAACCGGCGTGTCATCGTAGAGAACATTGACGCTGTGGACACCTGGGGTGATCAAACCAGAAGGCGGATGAAACAAAGACTCCAACAGGATTAAAGCCCCCGTCTCTGCTCACAGCCTCACCATTCTCAAAGGGGGTGTACCCCACGCCGTAGGTCCCATCCGCTCTGTCGGTGACCACGCACTCCGTCAGAGCTCCAGACGGGTTCTTGACCTCAGCCTTCACATGGTCCCCCCCTCGCCGGCTCAGAGGACGGGCGTCCACTGTGAAATCTGTGGTGGCTTCCCTAAAAACGGCTGCAAAGGAGAACTAGACTCATTACGCTCCCGTGTTAGGGACATCATCCCTCCAACAATATGGTCAAACTGTAGAAAGTGCACCTTTTCCTTCAACCCCAGGTCCAAACACCTTGACTTTGGACGTGTCCACAGCAGGGTCCACCATCACCTTGGCTGGGAAACCCGGGACGGCTTTGCCGCCGTACTTCAGCATCAGGGTGTACATGCCGGAGGTCAGGGGGATGTAGGTCACCGTGTATGTCCCGTCCTTGTTGTCCACAACCTCCGTCTTTGCCTTCACACCTGCGACATGGAGCAGAGTCACAGAACACTGCAGATAACTTTGGAACTGAATCCTGCTGTAACCTTCTGGCCCAAAAGCTCCAAATGTTCGGTTCTGGTTAATGATCAGGGATCAACAACTACCCTCACTAACCATTCATCAATTTTTCTATTCGTCAATAAAGGGAAACTTTAAAGGAATAGTACACCCAAAACATTATTAGCCTTCATTTTCTACTCACCCCCATGCTGAACAACACTCTGGAGTACTTTTTTGATATCTCAAATGCATCTGGAGATCTGGGAGGCTTCTTGCTGTCTGCTGACATTCAAATAATGGAGGTCTATGGTGCCCGAGGCAGAAAGGTCCATAAAAGTCCACAAAAAACGTGTCAATATTCCTCCATACTGCTCGTCCAATGTATTCCAAGTGTCCTGAGTGGGTAGCGTCCAGAATTTACTCGAAACGAAGCCAATTAGAATGTTTTTAGAGCATAAACAGTAGTGTATAGGATTTCCTGAAGGGCGCGTTCACGAGTCTACGGAAACCGTGGCAGACCAAACCAGATGAAAGTGCGCATTCAGCTCGGCAAAGAACTCATGCTCTTCCTCAACACTGAAGTCCTCAGACATTTTTCTTTCGTTGTTTCTTTCTTTGCACAGGTAAACAGCACATTTCTTCTTCTACGCTTGCATTATTGGCAGAGCAGACGCTGAATGCGCACTTTCATGAACGCGCAGGTGCACGCTTTCAGGAAATCCTATACACTACTGTTTATGCTCTAAAAACATTCTAAATGACTTCGTTTCGAGTAAATTCTGGACGCTACCCACTCAGGACACTTGGAATACATTGGACGAGCAGTATGGAGGAATATTGACACGTTTTTTGTGGACTTTTATGGACCTTTCTGCCTCGGGCGCCATAGACCTCCATTATTTGAATGTCAGCAGACAGCAAGAAGCCTCCCAGATCTCCAGATGCATTTGAGATATCAAAAAAGTACTCCAGAGTGTTGTTCAGCATGGGGGTGAGTAGAAAATGAAGGCTAATCATGTTTTGGGTGTACTATTCCTTTAAGGAAGTTAATCCTGAATCTTTATATTGCCATCAATATTTGATTGAACGTTTCTGCCCCAGATTTCACTGCCTTTCATTTTGAAAGTTGCAGCATTGGAACCAGAGAGGGCGGCGTGCGTCTGAACGAGTTCGCTCTGTGTTGCAGGGGAGTTTTAAAGCAGGGGCTCCTGTTTGGAGAGGATGTTCACATCATCTTCTCCCCAAACCGGACTGGAAGCTGGACCTCCATCCCAGTCCTCTGCAGGCTCCAACTGGTTTGCCTTCTGCATCGTCTCAATACTTCGGGCTAAAATATAGGTTGTAGAGTATGATGTGAGGTTCTGGAGGGATCAGTGGGCAAAGGTTGGATTCCTGGTCTTCAGCTTGTTGCTGCATGTCGCTTCCAGCTGGTTCAGCTTGACGTCCAGGAGCTGGTAGGTCTGCAGGGGGTCCATAATGTCCTGCCCTGGGGGATGTCTGGAGCTTCAGAACCAACTTTTGACGCCTCCATGACCTTGTCTCCAGAGTTCCTCCAGCTGCATGATGTTTGATCTTCTGACTTTTTTTTTTTTTACTAAATTAAGGAGCAAGAACACAAATACCTGCCAAACCTGGCAGGTATTTTTATTCTAGACCTACGGATCCCCCTCAGCTTCATCACAGAGGTCTATTGATCTTTAGAAAAAACTCTAAGATGGCGATAAGGAAATGCTAAAGGACCAAAAAGGAGGAGCAGGAAGAAGAGGAGGGTCTGATCAACAGGTCTGACCTGTTGGTCTGCTGATCTGAATTTGTTTTTGCATAACTCTTCAAATTTAACGATTCCTTCATTGAAAACAAACATTGTTAATATTTGAATCCAGAAGTTTCTTCATTAAACAAAGTTTAATTGGTTTTACCTGAACCAGAATCTCCTGGGCTGCTCGGGGAGGCATCCGGCACAGCTTCAAGACTAAGCTGGCCCGGCCCGGCTCGAGAACAGTCCACATTCAAAACACTGATCTCTCCAACCTAAAAAAGACAACAGATCCGAAATTAACAGACGTCGGAATTACTCGACGTTGTGGCAGGACAAACCTGCCCTTCATCAATCTATAAACATCAGTCTTCATCAAATCTGCAGATTTTCTGTGGGAAAATAGAAAACCGTTTTGCTTTCTTCTTGCAGATAAAGACAGGAATGGAACTACAGGCCTGATTAAGACGAGACTGAATTCTCCAGAACTGTGGAAACTTGATTTGAGTCTTTGGACCAAATGAAAACCTGAAAAACTCAGCAGCTAAACAGCAGAAACAAAGAAATCCAGAAAAGCCTCGTCACCTTCGCCTTCTTCAGCCCAGACCCCGAGGCCAGCACCTTGGAGGGGTCAAAGGGCATCTGGATGTCGGCTCTGAACGGCGAGCCGGGGATGTGAACATTTTCAAACAGGATGTTGACCAAGTAGTCTCCGGGCTCGGTGGGCAGGTAGGAGACAGAGCAGGTACTGTCGCCGTTATCAGAACATTCGATCTTCGCCTCAGTCGGCCCCTCCACGGTCAGGCCCAGACCTCCGGTTCCGGCCCCCTTGGTGTCGATGGTGAACTCTGCTGGGTCCCCGACCAGCCCTCCCTTCAGACCGGGTCCAAACGCCTTCACCTGGAACAATAGACCATCATCATCATCACCAGCATCGTTCAGCAAGACGTTTAACCCAACCTGGGCGCCGCACAATGGCAGCCCACTGCTCCCCAAGGGGATGGGTTAAATGCAGAGAGTTCATTTCATTTCTCTGTACTTGTGACAGCAGATGGGGACGAAGCTTACCTTACTGGGGTCTGGAGGCAGCTGGGCCTCCACAGAGAAGGGGCTCCCCGGCACAGGGTGCCCGTCGTAGGTCACGTTGACAGCATAGACCCCCTCCTCTGTGGGGGTGTAGCGGACCAAAGTGGCATCTGCTTTTCCAGGCTGAGGCTCTGCTTTGTAAGGAACTGCCTGCTGACTTGGACCCAGCTACAAACACAGCAGCAGGTCAAGGAAGCCTCTTTATTTTTTCAGTATAAAGAAAAAAAAAAAAAGAAAAAAAAAAAGTTGGTACTGACCACCTCCACCTCCAGCTGACCCTGACCTCCTGCACCCTTTGTGTCCACCATGAACTGCTGCTCTTCATCCACCTCCACCCCTGAAACACACCCAGAAAGCAGCAACCTTCAGCTATGACTGAAAAAGAGAAGTCCCCTGAAAAAGTCAGCAGCAGTTTCCTGTTGCAGCTCCATCTGATTTAAAATGGCAGAAATGATCAGAAGGTAACGCCCACAGTGGAAAACATCTAGAAGCCGTTAGTAGATCAGAAAACTTCCTTACTGCTATCAAGGCCGTCCACAGAGATCTTGCTGAGGTTCAGCGGGGCGGCAACACCAACCGTGAAGGGGCTGCTGGAAATGGGGTCACCTCCAAACGTCACCACGATGGTCATCTCCCCCTGGAGAAAGAGGGAACATGATGGGGGAACTGTAGACACGGCCAGCTCAGGTGGCTGAACTCACCCACCTTAGCTTTCATGAAAAAGGGATTTTTTTTTTTTTGAAATCTTTAAAAGATCATGAAAAGAAGAAGTTTGTGAAGAAGAAACATGTGAAAGAAGGTTTTCTGGGCCGATCAGACAAAGACTGGACCTTCTAGATGATTAGCAAACTAAGTTTGGATCAAGCTACAGAAGAACAGAACAGACTTCAAAGTATATTCATTAGGTAGAACGACCTGGTCAAGGTCACGACCTTTGACCTGTTACCAGTCTGGATGATTGGAAACACTTTGGGTTGTTCTAATGTGGAATGAAGCCTTTGCAGACTGCATACCTGCTGCACAGGCGTGTACTTGACGGTGTGAGAGTAGTCGTAGTTGTCAATGATGTCAAAGTCTTTGACTGAGGAGGAGAAGGTAACGTCCAGCGGAGCTTTACCCGCTCCTTTGGTCATCACCGTGAAATGGGTGGGCTTCCCGCTCTCCACACCTGAACAGGTGTAGAAGTGGTTAGGTCGGGGCAGAGCCTTAGAGATGAAATCTTTCAGGACTGAAAGATGACTCACCGCTTGGAGCAAGTCCTGGACCTTTGGCCTTGACCTTCGATGCGTCATGGGACGGCTCAACTTTCACCATGAACGGACTCTGAGGGACTTCCTGCAAACGAGCAGAAAGAAATGCCATCCTACGGGTGTCCCAGCTTAAAAACCTTCCCACCTGAGGGAATGGGTAACGGGACGTACCTGATCAGTGAAAAGGACTTTAACCGTCAGCCTGCCTGCAGCAGGAGGGACGTACTTGACTGTGAATGTGTCATTGGCATTGGGGATAATGTCAAAGTCCACGTCAGCTTCCTGTTCGCCCGCTGAGTTGGAATCCCACTTGATGCCTACACTGACGTCCCCTGAAAGCAGACAGACTGAATCAGGCGAAAGCGACCACAATGCCACCGTGAAATCAGCAGACACAGCTGTTACTCTGATGTTTAGTCCACTAGGGGGCTCTATGGGGTAGGTACTTCATATCACGGGTCTGTTGTTAACGGTGATGACGTTTTTGTTGGTTTGGTGAACAATCAGGTTAATGAAGAGGAATTCTGGAGTTATTTTTAGACGGTTCCAGTTTCTGCTCCAGTTGAACACCTGAAATAGTCGGGATGCTTAGTAATATAAACCATAACCAGGAATTCAGAGAATTAAGACAGAAGAGACTGAACAGAAACTGAGACAGAAACTGTCCCTTTCTCACGGCGTGTTTACAGATCGTCACCATGACAACAGAGGCTTTGAAACCAAACACTTTTTTCTTAAGTTTAGCTCAGTTTATCAAAAGTTGAAGGATTAAGTTGGGACATTTTTATTTCTGCCTTCACCTGTAAAGATAGGCAGATAGAGTCAGTCCATGGGAGGGTTTTTTTCCTGTCCCTATGCTGTACTTTGAAGCAGCTAACATTTTCTCTCCTTTTTAAAAACAGATAAACTGCCCATTTAAACCAATCATACATTTCATTGGAAATGGAGAACACACAAAACTACAGAAACTATGAAGCAAGCTTCATTGATTGGTTTTTCTGAGCTCTCCCTCTACAGTTCATCTCCCTGAAGCTGGTCTGGATCATTTTATATAGTGTCTGAATGTGGAAAATGGTGCTTGTTGATCCTGATCCTGAGGGATGAGGTGTGACGACTGATCAGCAAGGTCACAGTCATGAATCTCCTACTGAAATATTTCAGTTCAGGGTCTAGAAATGTAGGTGCGTCTGTGTTTTATACCATCTCCAGCTCCTGAGCAGTCCACTGTGAAGTGGGTTGGCTCGTTGGCCTTCAGTCCGTTTCGTTCCACTCCGGGACCAAGCACCTTCACCTTGTTGGGGTGACTTCCCTTCCCGACGTTCACCTGCAGACAAAGCCAGATGTTCAGTAGCATCTGAATGTGACCCAAATCGGAAAGCATCAGTAAAAAACTCAGGTCTCTATAAGAGCATCTTTAGATCAGTCATCCTGCAGATGAGATTGGTTCTCATGTCGGCTCTTCAAGTCAGAACAACGCTGAGGTGTTCATCAGGAGAGTTAGCTTTTTTTAACCCCACAGTCCTGGATCTGAATTCTTCTGACCCACACAGAACCAGAACTCCATCAGTTAAAAAGACACCATTAACAGTAAATGCATCAGTTTTGGTTCTTAAAAAAAGGCTCATTTGCATTTGCATGCATTAATGTGATTATGAGTGGAAGATACATTTAAACGCTTTAAAAAGGAGAGATTTAATGCCTGCACTTTAAATGATGCTGATGCTTGTGCATTAGAATATTATAAGTCAGTAGTGAAGCAGAAGTCTCAAACCAAAATCCTCAGATTCTGGTTTCACTGTAGTAAAAAATAAATAAAACTCAAACAATGCTTCATCCTTTTAGCAGATTTATTTCATGTTCCACCTCAAGTAACAGATCTTTGAACAACTTTGTTAGTTTTACTTGTCCTTTATAATATTCAAACACCTTACTAATTGAATTAATGAATCCAGATTTGAAGTTCAGCAACTTAATCCAAAAAGAGATAAAAACAGGTCAAACATTTGAATTAAAGTTGATTTTCTGATCAAAGTGAAATGATTTCAGAACAGCAGGTCAGCAAGCTGGACATGGTACAGATCTCAACAAACAGACAACAAATGAGTACAATGAAAAAACCAATTGATCAGTTTTAGAAACATTTGCAAACTGGTTTATTTGGCCTCAGTCTGTGCAGTTTAATCAGAGAATCGAACAATGAAATGAGATAATTACACATTCACTGCAATTTGAATAATTAAATCATCTAATTTCTTCTACATTCTGCTCAAATGAAGGAAAAGTAAACTAATTTCAAGAGAAATTGCCTTTCATGTTTCAGTTTTTGCAGGTTTGTCTCACCTAAAGCTCAGACAGTATCCTGTCAAGGATAAAGTTTAAAATATGCCTCTCGATTACAATGCAAATTGTAGTTGACAGTAAAGAGATTGATTGATTGATAGGCAAACCTAAGTTAGTCCTCGAGGGACGCCGTCCTGCAAGTTTTTGTTTTTTCTCAGCTTTAACTCAGTGGATTTTGATTATTGCAGTTCAGCAAAGGCCTGTTAATCAGTTATGAATGGAAAGATTTGCGCCGGAGCAGAGAAACCTCTAAAACCTGCAGGACAGCAGCCCTCAAGAATATATTTATTTAAAGAAACTGTTTGCAGTGGTGGGGAGTAAGTTACTTTTTTATTTTAGGTTTTAATTAAATTACACTTCTCATTGATGAAAACACACATTGTGATTTTAAATAAAACCTAAGTGAAAGCGAGAAGCTGCAGTAGTGATTCATAGTAACCAGATCCCAACATGGAGGCCCAGCGCTCGGCCTCTAGGGGGAACTAGTTGGCAACTCAACGGCAGATAATGATATTTAACTGTCTGCATTAGAAAACCTTACGCTTCTCTATTATGCAATATTCACATTTTAATCCTATTCTTTCAGTGCATGAGGTTCCACCTCCATCGTTGTCTTGCTCCATCTCTTAGCTAATGTGAGCCTAAAATGTCATTTGAAAATCCCAGCCCTTTATGATGTCATCAGGGGAAATCAGCTGCTCAGTCGGTCGGAAGCAGACGGCCTGTAAAGCTTCATCTTATGTATTATTTCCTACTTCTAGGCCATCTTTATGAACTCTTGAACGATTGTCATTGTTACAGGTTATAGTGGGGGGTGGCCTCCGAAGGTGGGGGTGCAGAAAGCCAGAAGAAAGCTGAATGAGGAGGTTTTTGGTAAAGGCTCTCTACCTAATCTGAGAAGAATCTTTTTCTGCACAAACGGCCTAAACCTGCTCTGGGTTTCCCTATTTTTATTTTCAAATGTAGAATAATATGGGACCTTTAATACAAACACACACACCTACATTTATTTATATAGCGTCATTTACGAGTAGTGTAAAAGGAAGTCTCCTATTATAATAGCATAGCTACCTAAAGCGATCTAAAGATAAAAAAACATAATTAACGCTAACCAGGTGCAGGTTTAATCGCTGCATAGAGAAGTCAACAGGTGGACGGGATTTATGTTTACGATTAAGATAATTCTTTCTAAAGAAAGTTTTAATAAATAATAGGGATGCAGGATATAATCGGGCCCCTATCGGTATCGGCCTTAAAACTGAATATCGGACATCGGCCACCCCACCGATATTTAACCCGATATTTGATCAGCTTCTGAGTTTCTAAAGTCTAAAAAAACAAAAAAACAAAAATACTACTTCTTCTTCCTCAAAAACCTTTTTTACAGACTTAAAAACTTCTAAAGACGAGGGAAAAATTATTGATACATTAAAATTAGGGATGCACAATATTGGGATTTTGGCCGATATCCGATATGCCGATATTTTAAAACTCATGTAGCCGATAACCGATATCGATACCGATGTTAAAGCTGGACAAAAATAAGTAGTCATTGAAAATAGTAGTTTTGTTATCCATTTCTGACACTTTGAAAAATAATACACTCAAATATATTTTCATATGCTGATATCAAATAGATTCTTAAAAACGCGGTATTGATCTATTTTACTTTCAAAATCTCGTGAAATTTCATCGTTCTGTTACAAACTCTCATGATATTTTGCAAATTCTTGTGAGATTTTGTTAGTAAAATAGATCGATACCGCGTCAATATATCAACATATAAAAATATGGCAACATTTGGTGAATTTTCGGGGGATTTCGTAGCATAACGATGACATATAGCAACATTTCATTAGTAAAAGAGATTGATATGGTGTTTTTAAATGGCAATATATCAGCATATGAAGATATTGGGATATTTTAATGTCTCAATATTTTTTTCCGCGACTTTAGAAGTTTTTAAGTGTGTAAAAAACAAGTTTTTGAGGAAGAAGAAGTAGTATTTTTTTTTAGACTTTAGAAACTCAGAAGCTGATCAAATATCGGGTTAAATATCAGTGGGGTGGCCGATGTCCGATATTCAGTTTTAAGGCCGATACCGATAGGGGGCCGATTATATCGTGCATCCCTAATTAAAATATCCCAATATCTTCATATGCTGATATATTGCCATTTAAAAACACCATATCAATCTCTTTTACTAATGAAATATTGCTATATGTCATCGTTATGCTACGAAATCCCCCGAAAATTCACGAAATGTTGCCATATTTTTATATGTTGATATATTGACGCGGTATCGATTTATTTTACTGACAAAATCTCACAAGAATTTGCAAAATATCGCGAGAGTTTGTAACAGAACGATGAAATTTCACGAGATTTTGAAAGTAAAATAGATCGATACCGCGTTTTTAAAAATCTATTTGATATCAGCATATGAAAATATATTTGAGTATATTATTTTTCAAAGTGTCAGAAATGGATAACAAAACTGCTATTTTCAATGACTACTTATTTTTGTCCAGCTTTAACATCGGTATCGATATCGGTTATCGGCTACATGAGTTTTAAAATATCGGATATCGGCCAAAATCCCAATATCGTGCATCCCTAAAGTATAATCCTAGTTTTATCTGGTATCTGTGGCTCCTCCTTTTGGTTTGGAGTCTGTTATACGCAGCTGTTGGATAAGAGAGAAGGTGGCCATATTGGACAAAGGATGGGTTGAAGGTCTGAGCTGCCGGGTTCTGAGGACAGAAAGGAGCTCAATATTTGTAGGAAGGATGGTTTGGTTTGACTGAAAGGTGCTGAAATGATCAGGAGACTGATTAAGGGGGAGCAAGAGACTAAATGACAAACTTCCTCTCAAATAAATACAGAAAGAAATTTTTAATAATAAAGTGTTAACAGATCATTATAAATTGTTTTATCAGCATCCATATAAGGAACCGTTTTGTAAAGTGGGACCAAAGGAACTAATTAACTAATTAACTAGAAGTCGAATTTGATTGCGATGTGTTTTACTTGCATTTTAGTAACTATTGACACTGGGAGCTGTTTTTCAAGCGACATTTAACAAAAATTACTGTAGTTTTAGTTCAGTATAACATCTTTGTACTTGTTCCACCGTTTGGCGCCTCAAGCTACAAATATCCGATTTCTGTCCACGAATACTTCAAACAGGAAAGTCTGTGCCTCTTTATATGAAATGAATTTGAAACTAAACACATGACTCAAGGTGAAGGAGTGCAGCTGATAAAATGAAATGAATTTAAGGAGGGTTTTAGTGCATGGATGAGTGGTTAGTTAACAGAGAAAGAAAACCTCTTTCCACTCAGATATAACCATACAATTATCTCAGTGTGAATAAAGGGAGAGGAGGTGCAAAAGGTCACGTCCTGTTTAATCTGGACAAACTTCTGAGACATATTGGAAATAAGTGGAAAAAGGTTTTTATTCAACCAAAAACATAAAAAAGATGTGACAGCTTCACTTTTCTGAGCCTCTGAGACTCAAACTGAAAATCATATTTGCTCCAGGGCTTCTGATCACAGTTACTTTTTTAGAGACAAACTACTGTGCATCAGTTTTCTGGCTCAGCATGAAAAGAAAACCAGCATTATACTCATAACCTCTAATAAATTTAGATCAATTGGTCAAATTCGCTCCCAATTACACCACATTTTAATCCTTAGGGGAAAACTTTGTCCATTTTGTCTGATCAATTGATCAGAAAATGCAAATAACAGAAAAGTGATGCCAGTTCTTACACAGATGCTTGTAAACTTAATGAGGAAAGGCAGCCCCCTCCCTGGTGGGAGGAGTTAACCCCATTTTTCTGGCTGTAGAACAATGGTTTGGGTTTTATGGGGCAAATCTTTTTTCTTTGAACAGGTGGACCAGCCTTTTATCATTAATGAGTGTGTTTATCAGGCGTCCTCAGTGGGATCGCGTGGGGACGATCACCCGTCATCCACAGAATGAAGCATTTTTTGTTTCACCCTCAAAAACAGCAAAGATCTGCTTTGAATTAAGATCTTTCATTCTGAAACTGACGTGTTATATGAGAAGTGTCCATCACATTTCAATTAATGACTAACTTCTAGTTCCTTTTAGTCATGTTTGATGACATGTGAGCTAGAATCAGATAACTGGATCAATCCGGTTTGTGGCGTTGGTCAGAAAAGGTTGAGATGAGTGAAGCTCGGGATCACAGTGTCGATGTGTTTGTGATCAGAGACAGAAATGAAAAAATAAAACACACTGGAAGCTTTCAGAGGCAGAGCTGATTTCATTAGGGTGAATAAAACATTGAAATGATCACGCCTGTTAATCAGCAGTCAGACACAGTTTTACGTGGATCAGGATGAAATGTGAAGATATTCAATCTCAGCTGAAGAGTAAGTCTGGACAGAAGCTGCTCCGTTTAGCCGTAAATCATCACAGGTCGATTCATCCGCATTCATTCAAGGTTCTGCAGAACCACCAGGATGAACTCGGATGATTCCAGGACAAAATTCCAGGACAGACCCAACTGTGTGCTAATAGTGGAACCTCTGCTCTGTGTAGGTGGTGATGATGACCAGAGGTTTCTTAGCTTTTCTGCCCCCCGTTGACCCTTCGCTCAGACGCGGTGCTGCCTCTACAGGTTTCACAGCCCCGACCCGTTCCTTACGCCTGAGCAGAGTTATCCCGCTTCCTGTCGTAATTGGGAGCTGTGATTGGCTGCTTACCCTGAAGGGGCTGTTGGGGATGCTGACTCCTCCCCAGGTGATGGACACTGTGTGCTTCAGAGACGAGCTGGGCGTGTAGGAGCACTGGTACAATCCCTCTCCTTTACTCTTCACCTTCACCTCCACAGGAAGCCCCTCTGCATCCTGAGCAACGCACAACAAAACTTATCGTTAACAAGGTGTTCAGGTCAGTCGCCAAGAAACATTCAGATCCAGTTTTCTGCCCCCGCCTTCGTTGCAGAACTTAAGCAGAAACATTGACCATTCTTTCAGAGTTTCTGGCAGTAGATGAACCATCTTTCTGTTTGCTTCATTCAAAACATGGATTTAAATGCTTCAGAGGAAAACGTGCAGCAGATCTACCCGAGCTGCTGTTTTACAGTTACTGCTAAAAACTAAATGCTGAACTGTTTTGAACTTTAAGCTCAGAAATATTCAACATTCTTTTACATTTCAGCCCAAAAATGTAAAACGGATCCTGAATAAGTTCATCAAATTAATCATATAAGATGATAAAAACTAAAATAATGAAGTAAAACATCTGAACCTGTTCATCGAGACACTGCCGTGTTTATTCCCAATGAAAATAGATCAAAGTCTCAGATGGGTGAATGCCATGGGGGGGTCTTTAAGGGACTCGGCATAAAAAACCTTCAGATGTTCAGGTCTGCCCTTGAAACAGCACAGAAATGAAGATGGTGAGGAGGTTTTCTCTGAGACAGTGGTTCTGGTCCTCCAAAATCACTCTCCTGCAGGTTGTAGGAGTCTCCTAACTGATATGAAGGGATAATAAATGGGTTTCTGCAGACTGGTGGCTGCTGAGCAGCGCAGGCAATCATCTACAGCTAGGGATGCACGATATAATCGGCCCCCTATCGGTATCGGCCTTAAAACTGAATATCGGACATCGGCCACCCCACCGATATTTAACCCGATATTTGATCAGCTTCTGAGTTTCTAAAGTCTAAAAAAAGAAAAAAATACTACTTCTTCTTCTTCCTCAAAAACTTCTTTTTTACAGACTTAAAAACTTCTAAAGACGAGGGAAAAAATATTGATCCATTAAAATATCCCAATATCTTCCTATGCTGATATATTGCCATTTAAAAACACCATATCAATCTCTTTTACTAATGAAATATTGCTATATGTCATCGTTATGCTACGAAATCCCCCGAAAATTCACCAAATGTTGTCATATTTTTATATGTTGATATATTGACGCGGTATCGATCTATTTTACTAACAAAATCTCACAAGAATTTGCAAAATATCACGAGAGTTTGTAACAGAACGATGAAATTTCACAAGATTTTGAAAGTAAAATAGATCGATACCACGTTTTAAAAAATCTATTTGATATCAGCATATGAAAATATATTTGAGTATATTATTTTTCAAAGTGTCAGAAATGGATAACAAAACTGCTATTTTCAATGACTACTTATTTTTGTCCAGCTTTAACATCGGTATCGATATCGGTTATCGGCTACATGAGTTTTAAAATATCGGCATATCGGATATCGGCCAAAATCCCAATATCGTGCATCCCTAATGTATAATCCTATATGTATAATGAGTAAAAATGTCTTCAAATAAAAGTGCGTTTGGTCCTAATCTGAGCAGGTAAAGAGCTTCTGCCGCTAAAATTATTTTGTTAGATTTGATGACCTGAAAAAAGATAATGGATCACTTAAAACATAAATCATCTTGTTCTATAGTCTTATCTACTCATATCCAGACTTTAAGCTTTTTGGGGGTTAGGGTTTCTAGATTCAAATAAAACGACATGAAGCCAGTTTGATGGTGAAACATGAAGTGAGCTGAAAGAAAGTGGCTCAAAGATGGAGGATCTGGCAGATTAACAGAGATCGAAGGAAACTTTGGCCTTGAAGCATTACCAACCTTAGACTTAGACTTAGACTTAGACTTCTTTATTTGTCATTTTGTATGCACAGGGTGCATACAGAACGAAATTGCGTTACATACAGCTTATGAACGTTGCATTGATATTTCACAATGGCACGAGTTATAGAAAAATACAAAAAGTGCAGCAGTGGTCAAAGTGTGAACAGTGCAGAGGATAAGAGACAGTGTGCAAGTTGCAGTGGTTCAGTGCAAAATGGCATTTGTGCAAAAAATGCGTTATTGAAAAATACAATGAGATGAACAATTTAAAGGGCTAAAAGTTAAAAGTTCAGCAGCATTTGATGCCCGATAATGTGCAATAGGTGCAGAGTTCGGATTGTGGATCAAAGGTTCAACAGTCTGATGGCAGTGGGGAAGAAGCTGTTGCACCTGAGCTGTGATCTTCAGAGGACCTTTCCCAGCTCCTTTAGACTCCACTGTGAACTCAGCCAGTTGGTCAACCTGGCAGCCGCTTGCCTCGAGCCCAGGCCCGTAAGCCTGAACCTAAAATCACAGAACATTCAGAACAGATGAAGATCCAGCACTAAATATCATTGGAGGCTCTCAGGATCATAGCATGTTTTGTTTGCGGGACCTTCTCTGGGTGACTGGTGTGGTTGTCAGGGATAATGTGAGCCATGAAGGGGCTGTGTTCGATGTCCTCCTCATCACAGGTCACATGGACGGCATATTCGCCCGCCTCTGTTGGCCAGTAACGAACATCACAAGACCCGTCGTTTTTGTCCTCGCACTCAATTTTAGCCTGGGAAGGACCTTCGATGGCGAAACCTGAAAACGCAGAGCAAATTAGAGGGGTGGGGCCACTAAAGTTATTTATGTGGAGGATGCATGATTGGGCAACCACTTACCGAGAACTCCTACATCGGTGCCGATGGACTCAACTACAAAGGTTGCAGGTTTACCAACGATGCCCCCCTCCAAACCTGGACCCCAGGCCCTGATCTGCTGAGGCCCCGCCTCTGGACTGACTGCCACATCAAAGGGACTGTTGGCGAGCAAAACAGGGAAGACCAGTCAGAATCTGGGGAACATTTAGATGTCAAATCTGTGGGTCCAAGGGTGAGGTCAAAGGTGATCAATGTCAACGGTATTCAACTCTCATGGGAATCTACGTCCAGAGCAATCTAATGCATCCATCGGGTTTTCATCAGATTTCATACCTGATCTCAGACTTTTCCATCACTGCAGCTAAACCTCATTTAATATATCAGTTTATCAAGTTCTTCTAGCGGCATTAAAATGAAAATGGGCTCAGTTTGCTCCTCACCTCTTTGGGATGTGCTGACCCCCCCAGGTGATGGAGACGGTGTACTTGCCAGGACTTTTGGGATAATACTCGTAGGAGAACACACCGTCCTGACTAGAGGCCTGCTTCACAGGCTCCTCCATGCCTCCTGCAACAGCAAACATGAACAAACAGCATGCTCAGAAACTGGATGAAATATTCAGATGTGTCTTTGATGAACCTCAAGTTCAGTTTGAGGCCAGTTTGAAGCAGGAATCATTTTCAGGTTGGATTTGTTTTGTCCTGCAGCCGTCTGTTAGCCCTCCATCGAGGCCAGAGAAGGAAGTTGCAGACAATAGAAATATTGTTAATGGGACAGAGTCAACCTGAGAATCAATATCGGGGTTCAGACTGACTAATTGATTCAGTCACAAACAGATTTACATAAAATAGGAAACTCAAATTATTATAGAAATAGATGCCAAGATGCTAAGAAAGGTTTAAAGGAATAGTACACCCAAAACATGATTAGCCTTCATTTTCTACTCACCCCCATGCTGAACAACACTCTGGAGTACTTTTTTGATATCTCAAATGCATCTGGAGATCTGGGAGGCTTCTTGCTGTCTGCTGACATTCAAATAATGGAGGTCTATGGCGCCCGAGGCAGAAAGGTCCATAAAAGTCCACAAAAAAACGTGTCAATATTCCTCCATACTGCTCGTCCAATGTATTCCAAGTGTCCTGAGTGGGTAGCGTCCATAATTTACTCGAAACGAAGTCATTTATAATGTTTTTAGAGCATAAACAGTAGTGTATAGGATTTCCTGAAAGCGCGTTCACGAGTCTACGGAAACCGCGGCAGACCAAACCAGATGAAAGTGCGCATTCAGCTCAGCAAAGAACTCATGCTCTTCCTCAACACTGAAGTCCTCAGACATTTTTCTTTCATTGTTTCTTTCTTTGCACAGGTAAACAGCACATTTCTTCTTCTACGCTTGCATTATCGGCAGAGCAGACGCTGAATGCGCACTTTCATCTGGTTTGGTCTGCCGCGGTTTCCGTAGACTCGTGAACGCGCTTTCAGGAAATCCTATACACTACTGTTTATGCTCTAAAAACATTCTAAATGACTTCGTTTCGAGTAAATTATGGACGCTACCCACTCAGGACACTTGGAATACATTGGACGAGCATATATGGAGGAATACTGACACGTTTTTTGTGGACTTTTATGGACCTTTCTGCCTCGGGCGCCATAGACCTCCATTATTTGAATGTCAGCAGACAGCAAGAAGCCTCCCAGATCTCCAGATGCATTTGAGATATCAAAAAAGTACTCCAGAGTGTTGTTCAGCATGGGGGTGAGTAGAAAATGAAGGCTAATCATGTTTTGGGTGTACTATTCCTTTAAGGACCTCTTCTTCTGGGGCAGCATTTGGCTTCGTCTGCCCAGGAGAAAATCAGAAGTTATTCAAAGTTAAAGCTAACCCTGTGATATGAATCTAAGGTTAATCCATTCATGTACTTTGGTCAATAAATTGAAGAATAATAAGGCTGCTTAGAAACTTCTCTCTGTAATATAACAGAAACTTCAATCTTTTACTGTTCACCATCTCAAATAGTTTCCCGATCAGCTGAAGTGATTAAAACTCATCAGGAAGGAAGTCTCTAGAGGATTTTCAGATCTAATTTATTAAAGTTTAATGGAGGGAAATTAAACTCTGCTTACTGGGATCTTTGATGAGGACCTTTAGTTCTCCACTGCCGGCGTTCCTCGTATCCACCTTCAAGTCCCCAACCTGCTTCACTCTCATGCCCGTAGGCTGCAGACCCCGACCCGTCGCCCTGCAGGCTCCTGGCATGCAGGCTGATAGACCATGTTCAATGGCATCAGTTTTTATAAAAACCTTTGAACAAGCAGCGGTAAAGAAGGAAGAGCTCTCACCAGGGCCGATGTCCACACCAAAAGGGCTCTTGGGGACACCTACTCCTCCAAAGGTCAAGGTGATGGTGTGTGGTCCAGCCTGAAGGGGGTTGTAGGTGCAGCGGAAAGTGCCATCACCCTTGTCCTCCATCATGACCTCAACGCTGTTCTGGCGACCCTGTGGGTCTCGGATCATGGCTGTCACATCTCCCTTTCCTGCTCCTGTGGAGAACAAACCATGAAGAAGAAGCCTTAGCCAGCTGGTCGTGGACTGGTGGAAGATGGGGCAGTGGGTCACAGCTCCTCACCTGCTGTGTAGATGTCAAAGTAGGTGGGTTTGTTGGCGATGTTACCCACAGGTTCGATTCCCGGACCTTTGACCGTCACTTTGGAGGCGTCTCCCAGTGCCTTGTCCACGTTCACCTCAAATGGACTTTTGGGAATCTGCTGCCCCGCAAACAGCACTGTGACCTGTAGAACATACCTCGTTATTATTCTTTATTTGCATTTGATCTAATGGTCAAAAGTATAGCTCCCAGTTAACTCTGTTCACCTTATGAGCTCCCATGACCTGAGGAATGTAGGTGACGCTGTACGTCTTCTTGCCCTCGTTGGGCTCCACCTTCAGCTACAATCAAATATGGGAACAGATCAGACTGAATCGATGTTTACTGGACCTAGAACCCCTAGAAGGCCCATCACTGAAGAGGGAACCTTACCTCCTCTCGAGTGCCGTCTGGATGGTCCAGGTAGACCATGACCTGGCCCTGACCCGCACTGAAGGTGTCCACCGTGAACACAGCAGGACGCAGAACTCTGTTCCCTGTGGGCTCGATACCTGCACAACAAAAAACTACCTCAGACGGTTGTGTGAAGGTCTGAGGATCCAGTGGGAGTCCCAAACGTGGCAAGGCTTCGCCAGAGAGGTACGTTTCCTCCAAGGCAAGGCTATACCACAGATGCATTCCAGCCAAGGCTGAGGCCGTACCACAGAGGTACGCTCCAGCCAAGGCGAATTATTAGTGGCCATCTGGAGATATTCTCCATCCAGTCCAGAGTTCTTATGATACTATTGGCTCATCACCGTTCTTGTAGGTTTAGATCAGGGATATGCAATTCCAGTTTGTGTGGGCTGGCAACCTGCAGCTTTTAGATCCATCCTTCGTCCACAACACCTGAATCAAATGAAGGGGAGTGGCGACCTAGTGGTAGGGCATAGAGCTTGGAATCCTGAGCTTCTGAGTTCGAGCCCTACTACCACAGACTGCCACTATGGGTCTCTGAGCAAGATCCTTAATAAACCTGTAAATTTCTCCAATGTGAGATCTATAAAGTTCAATTAATAAATTGATTAATTAATAAATCTCTCCATTTTCATATGATCTCTGTAAGGTGTTAATCTGGGTTTAGAACCAAGCTCTTCTTTAAAGGAATAGTACACCCAAAACATGATTAGCCTTCATTTTCTACTCACCCCCATGCTGAACAACACTCTGGAGTACTTTTTTGATATCTCAAATGCATCTGGAGATCTGGGAGGCTCCTTGCTGTCTGCTGACATTCAAATAATGGAGGTCTATGGCGCCCGAGGCAGAAAGGTCCATAAAAGTCCACAAAAAACGTGTCAATGTTTCTCCATACTGCTCGTCCAATGTATTCCAAGTGTCCTGAGTGGGTAGCGTCCATAATTTACTCGAAACGAAGTTTAGAATGTTTTTAGAGCATAAACAGTAGTGTATAGGATTTCCTGAAAGCGCGTTCACGAGTCTACGGAATCCGCGGCAGACCAAACCAGATGAAATGGCGCATTCAGCTCGGCAAAGAACTCATGCTCTTCCTCAACATTGAAGTCCTCAGACATTTTTCTTTCGTTGTTTCTTTCTTTGCACAGGTAAACAGCACATTTCTTCTTCTACGCTTGCTTGGTTTGGTCTGCCGGCTTCCGTAGCGTCGTGAACGCGCTTTCAGGAAATCCTATACACTACTGTTTATGCTCTAAAAACATTCTAAATGACTTCGTTTCGAGTAAATTATGGATGCTACCCACTCAGGACACTTTGAATACATTGGACGAGCAGTATGGAGGAATATTGACACGTTTTTTGTGGACTTTTATGGACCTTTCTGCCTCGGGCGACATGGACCTCCATTATTTGAATGTCAGCAGACAGCAAGAAGCCTCCCAGATCTCCAGATGCATTTGAGATATCAAAAAAGTACTCCAGAGTGTTGTTCAGCATGGGGGTGAGTAGAAAATGAAGGCTAATCATGTTTTGGGTGTACTATTCCTTTAAAATGAGCCAGAATTTTTTTCCTGACCTGTTTGGATTCACAGGTCTTCATGATTGTTGTTCTCTAAACCCGGGATTCTTAACCATGGTCCTCAGGTCCCACTGTCCTTCATGTTTTAGATTCGTCTCTACTTAAGCACACCTGATTTAAATGATTGCATTACCTCCCCAGCAGTCACCAGTGCTCCAAAAAAACTGTTAATCGCCTTTGTCAATTAAGTTTAGATGTGTGGAGGCAGTTAAACACTTAAAATATGCAGGACAGAGGGCCCTGAGGAACAGGGTTGAGAAACCCTGCTCTAAAGAACCTCTGAGGCCCGATATGAAACAAATGGGTTAATCAGCTTACAGAGGAGTGAACCATTTTTATTGGGATATCAAAAGAATTGAAGATGTATCAAAAGGCATCAAAAATATATTTATAAAAACAAATAAACCCATATTTTTCTTCTGCTTTAAAACCACAACCTACTGCCATTTGGTTTGTTAGATAAACTCTGCTGGAGTTGGTCGCTGTGATCTGATGGAATAAAACACAACACTAAATAAAACTAAATACTTCTCCAAAACATCCAGCTCATCCAATGTGTATGTAAACTATGGGGGCCTTTTCCACCTTTTCTATTGCTTCTACAGAGCTGCAATATGGAAAATCTAAATTAGAGCCAACAATGAGCAAGCTTCCTATCTTTTATAATTTCCCTAATGACAATTTGTTCTTATTTATTTGTTGGTCTAAGAAACATTTTTTCAGATTTATATTTTTCATATTTTAAAATTAAATAAGCTATAAAAATAAATTTAACACGAAAATACATGATAGAGTTGAGCTAAATGAGTTTTATCTTCTTTTTTGCTGATGCTGAACTTCCTGCTCTGCCATAAATTTTCTATAAAGTGTGGATCCAACTACCAGTTGTAATCCATGAGGAAAAACACCCTCTCTACTAATAATTCAAGGCTCAAAACTTTCCTTTTTAATAAAGTTTACAGTTATAGTGGCTCAGGTCATCCTGAGATATCTCTATAATTATGCTGCTATAGGCTTAGACTGCTGGAGGACATAGAGGCCCCATTCATCAATCCATCTTTCACCTCCCATACTGCAGTATTTGTTACTTCAATCTGAAACGTAACGCCTTCTCTGTTTTTTCTCATCATAGTAGCTTCATCTGGTCTGTTTGACTGTGACACCATCCTGGAGAGAAATAACAGCTATGCTGCTGCCATCAACACCTTTGTTTCTAGATGTTGGCAGGGTGGGAAAGTAATAGATTGACCATTTTGAAGAAAATGAATCGAGGTTATCATCCACAACTTCCTCTTTAATTTGTGTTAACCAGACAAAAAAACTGCACCAGATCAATGAGTCTGGAGAGAAAGGCTGGGTAGAATGTTGTTCGACTGCTAGGCAGAGTATTTCCTCTTCTGGGTCACTAAGTTGGGAAATGGCATCAGTAAAGTTTGTGTTTGAGAGTGTGTTCCTGTTTCTTCATCAGATTGAAGTCACAGTGATGTCCGGTTGTTGTAAAGTAAGGACATTTTCCAGTTCCTTACAAGCTATTTAGCCAACAGTAAGGTTTAGGGCTATGGTTTGAATTGAGTTTAATTTGGGGTCAGGATGAGGTCTGCGCTGGTTAGGGTTATCATCATGGTTAGGGCAGAGAAAGGGTTAAAAATAAAAATCAATGGAAGTTGATGGGAGTCAACACATGGTCCTCGTGGGTGTGGGGGATGGTGGGGGGGCTAAGAATTTGGCCATTGTTCACCTCAGCTGCAATTCACTTCCTCTCATTGTGAGAGCAGCAGTCCAAGCGTTCCCATTATCTCTAAAACCTTTGTGTGGGTGTTTTGGTCAGGCTACAGTTTGGAGTCATCAAGGTTGGGATCACATGACATGATTTTGTCAAAATTCATTGAACATCAAAGCAGAATCCGTGGCTTTGCGTCGGTTTACCTGGTCCGTATGCACGGGCCTTCTTAGGGTTGAGCTTGGGTTTGAGTGGAGCTCCAGGCTTTAATTTGGCTTTGGGGAACTGAGACAGGTAGGTCATCACAGACTGCTCATCAACACTGGGGTCGATGATCTCCTCTGGAGCAATCACCTGCAAATGTCAAACACATGAGAATACTCTTCCATTAGACTGATTCAGAATGCAAAGGCCTAAAGCCCGTCACACAATGGCGATTCAGCCAGCGTATGCCTGACGTCCCAGAATCTCCTAAAACGCTGGCATGCGCTGACTTAAGTCCAACGACAGCCTATCTTATGCATAATGCCCATGAAATGTCACAAGCTAGTGTCCTGAGGGGGGCGGCAATACGCCTGGAGGTGCATAAAAACTGATATGGACTGGATGATGTGTTAGGAACAAAAGGATGCCACATCATTTGATAGAAATGAAAATTATCAACCTACAGAGGGCTGAATTCAAAGACACCCCAAAAATTACAGTGAAAAAATGATGCGGCAGACTAGTCCAAATTTCATTGCAGCAACTCAAAATGGTATTCAGGCGTATATACACTCACCGGCCACTTTATTAGGTACACCTGTCCAACTGCTCATTAACACTTAATTTCTAAGCAGCCAATCACATGGCGGCAACTCAGTGCATTTAGGCATGTAGACATGGTCAAGACAATCTCCTGCAGTTCAAAGCGAGCATCAGTATGGGGAAGAAAGGTGATTTGAGTGACTTTGAACGTGGCATGATTGTTGGTGCCAGAAGGGCTGGTCTGAGTATTTCAGAAACTGCTGATCTACAGGTGCTGGTCATAAAATTAGAATATCATGAAAAAGTAGATTGATTTCAGTAATTCCATTTAAAAAGTGAAACTTGTATATTATATTCATACATTACATACAAACTCATATATTTCAGATGTTTATTTTGTTTAATTTTGATGATTACAAATGACAACAAATGAAAATCTCAAATTCATCATATCAGAAAATTAGAATATTACTGAAGACCAATAAAAACAAAGGATTTATAGAAATGTTGGCCAACTGAAAAGTATGAACATGAAAAGTATGAGCATGTACAGCACTCAGTATTTAGTTGGGCCTCCTTTGGCCTGTATTACTGCAGCAATGCGGCGTGGCATGGAGTCGATCAGTCTGTGGCACTGCTCAGGTGTTATGATAGCCCAGGTTGCTCTAATAGTGGCTTTTAGCTCTTCTGAATTGTTGGGTCTGGTGTATTGCATCTTCTTCTTCACAATACCCCATAGATTTTCTATGGGGTTAAGGTCAGGAGAGTTTGCTGGCCAATTAAGAACAGGGATACCATGGTCCTTCAACCAGGTACTGGTAGCTTTGGCACTGTGTGCAGGTGCCAAGTCCTGTTGGAAAATGAAATCTGCATCTCCAAAAAGTTGGTCAGCTGCAGGAAGCATGAAGTGCTCTAAAACTTCCTGGTATGTGGCTGCGTTGACCCTGGACCTCAGAAAACACAATGGACCAACACCAGCAGATGACATGGCACCCCAAACCATCACTGACTGTGGAAACTTTACACTGGACTTCAAGCAACGTGGATGAAGTGCCTCTCTTCTTTTCCTCCAGACTCTGGGACCTTGATTTCCAAAGGAAATGCAAAATTTACTTTCATCAGAGAACATGACTTTGGACCACTCACCAGCAGTCCAGTCCTGTTTCTCTTTAGCCCAGGCAAGACGCTTCTGACACTGTCTGTGGTTCAAGAGTGGCTTGACACAAGGAATGCGACAGCAGAAACCCATGTCTTTCATACGTCTGTGTGTGGTGGTTCTTGAAGCACTCACTCCAGCTGCAGTCCACTCTTTGTGAATCTCCCCCACATTTTTGAATGGGTTTTGTTTCACAATCCTCTCCAGGGTGCGGTTATCTCTCTTGCTTGTACACTTTTTTCGACCACATCTTTTCCTTCCCTTCGCCTCTCTATTAATGTGCTTGGACACTGAGCTCTGTGAACAGCCAGCCTCTTTAGCGATGACCTTTTGTGTCTTGCCCTCCTTGTGCAAGGTGTCGATGGTCGTCTTTTGGACAACTGTCAAGTCAGCAGTCTTCCCCATGATTGTGTAGCCTATAGAACTAGACTGAAAGACCATTTAAAGGCTTTTGCAGGTGGTTTGAGTTAATTAGCTGATTAGAGTGTGGCACCAGGGGCCATCAATTTTGAACCTTTTCACAATATTCTAATTTTCTGATATGATGAATTTGAGATTTTCATTTGTTGTCATTTGTAATCATCAAAATTAAACAAAATAAACATCTGAAATATATGAGTTTGTATGTAATGTATGAATATAATATACAAGTTTCACTTTTTAAATGGAATTACTGAAATCAATCTACTTTTTCATGATATTCTAATTTTATGACCAGCACCTGTAATGGGATTTTCACGCACAACCATCTCTAGGGTTTACAGAGAATGGTCCGAAAAAGAAAAAACATCCAGTGAGCGGCAGTTCTGTGGGCGGAAATGCCTTGTTGATGCCAGAGGTCAGAGGAGAATGGCCAGACTGGTTGGAGCTGATAGAAGGGCAACAGTGACTCAAATAACCACCCGTTACAACCAAGGTGGGCAGAAGAGCATCTCTTAACGCCCAGTACGTCAAACTTTGAGGCAAATGGGCTACAGCAGCAGAAGACCACACCGGGTGCCACTCCTTTCAGCTAAGAACAGGAAACTGAGGCTACAATTTGCACAAGCTCATCGAAATTGGACAATAGAAGATTGGAAAAACGTTGCCTGGTCTGATGAGTCTCGATTTCTGCTGCGACATTCGGATGGTAGGGTCAGAATTTGGCGTCTACAACATGAAAGCATGGATCCATCCTGCCTTGTATCAACGGTTCAGGCTGGTGGTGGTGGTGTCATGGTGTGGGGAATATTTTCTTGGCACTCTTTGGGCCCCTTGGTACCAATTGAGCATCGTTGCAGCGCCACAGCCTACCTGAGTATTGTTGCTGACCATGTCCATCCCTTTATGACCACAATGTACCCAACTTCTGATGGCTACTTTCAGCAGGATAATGCGCCATGTCATAAAGCTGGAATCATCTCAGACTGGTTTCTTGAACATGACAATGAGTTCACTGTACTCAAATGGCCTCCACAGTCACCAGATCTCAATCCAATAGAGCATCTTTGGGATGTGGTGGAACGGGAGATTCGCATCATGGATGTGCAGCCGACAAATCTGCGGCAACTGTGTGATGCCATCATGTCAATATGGACCAAACCCCCTGAGGAATGCTTCCAGCACCTTGTTGAATCTATGCCACCAAGAATTGAGGCAGTTCTGAAGGCAAAAGGGGGTCCAACCCGTTACTAGCATGGGGTGCCTAATAAAATGGCCGGTGAGTGTATGTGTGTGTATATATATATATATATATATATATATATATATATATATATAATACATATACATCCGAAGATGCTTCTCTTTCATTCACCCTTAGTGAATGTAGCCTTGGCCAGGGGGAATCAATGTCATCAGGTGGCATCCACCGTTCACTGGCTGTTTCGACCCTGAACCACTACAGCCTCCCGGTGGTGGGTCGGCAGTGGTGGCCAAGTCACTGCCCATCTCCTCCTCCTGGCTTCCAGCTAACCTCCTCCATTCTACTCCATAACCAGCATGAGGCTTTTTCCGCTGCCTCCCCCATCCTGCGAGCTGCAACCTTTCTTTCCCTCCCTCCCAATCCAATGGCTGTGAACATTCTCCATACAGACTGGGCCGGGAACCCTCGACAACCGACCTCGACTGGGAACAACCATGACTGCCATCCCTTCTCTCTGCACTCATGCAGAAGGTCTTGATACTTTCCACTTTTCCTTTCAAAGGCCTGTTCACACCCCTCTTCCCATGGGACAGTCAGTTCAATAAGCATGATCTTCTTCGCTTCTTCTGACCACAGTACCACATCTGGCCTCAGGGATGTCTGGACAAACTGTGCGAACTTCAACATTCCGCCCAGGTCAACCTTCATTTCCCAGGATTGGGCCTTTTGCAGTAGACTAGATTTTGCTGTAACTGCAGTTGGTGGCTTTTCCCCTTCCCTTACGAACTGGATTGATGTTGCCTTTGGATGTTTCTGCCGTTTCTTCTTCCTCTCCTGCTCTAGGGTGTTGGCAAGTGTCATGAGCACCTTGTCATGGCGCCACCTGTATCTTCCTTGGGCAAGTGCAATTTTACACCCAGACAGGATATGCGCCATGGTCCCTTTCTCCCCGCAGAGCTTGCACAGGGGGCTCTCAGATAGCCCCCACCTGTGCAAATTTGCTGGGGTCGGGAGTGTGTCATACACTGATCGCAGTAAGAAGGAGATACGAAACGGCTCCAGCCTCCAAAGCTCTGCCCAAGTGATCTTACGCTTGGGGAGGTCCCACTTGGTCCAGGCTCCTTGGGAAGATAGTGCCACAGCCTTTGACCTTCGCCCTTCCTCCTCCAAACTTCTAACCTCCTCCTGAATCATCACTTTTCTTTCCCTAGTTCCTGCCTTGCTCCACTGTTGGAAATGGGATGTTCCAAGACCCTGTCTTCCTGTGCATGGTGCCCCAATGATGTCACGGATCTTCAGCATGCTTTCCGTCTGTGTGACTGTTGCCTCAGCTCCCCACTTGCGGCCCGATCTCGTGACGATCCCTGCTTGTCTGACTTGGTCATCGGGGGAGTCTCTGTAGGTCATGACGACTCTGCACTTGGCAACTTTAAACTCCTCCACCACGGATGTCAGAGGAAGTTGAAGTTGTCCTGATCTTATGTACAGGCCTACTGACGTGAAGCTTGGAGGAATCCCCAGCCACTTCCGGAGATACTTATTGACTTTCCTCTCCATCCCTTCCACGCTTGTCATTGGGGCTTCATACACAGTCAGTAACCATGTGAGCCTTGGCAGCAGCCCGTGTTGATAGAGCCACGCTTTAAATTTCCCTGGAAGTCCTGACTTTTCGATACTCCTCAACCATTCCTCTGTCTGCTTCTCTGTATTGACCATGTTGTTTCGGTCGGCCAGTGAGTTATCAAACCACTTTCCGAGACACTTGATTGGGTTTTCCTCCACCGACGGGATCCCTTCCTCTTGCACATACAGCCTAAACTTGTTGGTCACCTTCCCATTTCTGATCACCATGCTTCTGGATTTCTTTGGCTTGAACTTCAGTCTAGCCCATGTTGCCATTTGGTCCAGTGCTGTTAGCACCCATCTCGCCTCCACATGGGTTCTGGTTGTCACTGTAAGGTCATCCATATAACCCCTTATTGAAGGTTGTTGGATGCCTGACTCCATCTTTGGGCCCTTTGCCTCCTTTGCTGCAGCTGTTATCAGCAAATTCATTCCCATGACAAAAAGGATTGGGGAGATTGTGCAGCCAGTCACAATTCCCTTTTCTAGGCTCTGCCAACGAGTTGTAAAATGGGCTGCCTTGAATCGCACCTGGATTCCACCGAAGTAGCTGGTGATCAATCCCTTGATGTGTTGAGGGATGTGGTAGTGGTCTAGTGCTGTATGGATTAAGGCATGAGGGATAGATCCATAGGCATTGGCCAAATCCAGCCAGACTACTGTAAGGTTGCCGTTTCTGGACTTGGCCTCACGAATCATCTGAGTGAGAACACCTGTGTGCTCCAGACAACCAGAAAAGCCTGGAATTCCGCCTTTCTGGATAGCTGTGTTGATATACTTGTTCTCGATCATATAAGAGGTCATCCTCTTGGCCAATACTAATAATAAATAATATATAATAAATATATATATATATAAAAACCTCTTTTAAGATGATTAGAACATCCTGATTTATTTTTCTATTCAAACAATTAGTTACCTTTAATCATATCAGCCTTGGTATATAAAAGAAAAAGAAAGAAACTTACACTTAACGTACGTCAATGATCAGATAACTTAGCTGCAACTTATGCCCCATGTATGGCGCATGCTGGCATACGTACTTGCCGTATGTCAACGTGTGCCAGCGTGCTTCAGCGTGCTCGTAACCTTTACACAACTGACCAGTAACTTATCCAACGTATGCCAGTTGGATAAGTTGCAGGCAACGCTTTGCCAGATTTTTCGTACGTCAGGCATAGGCAGGTCAAAATCGTCAAGGTGCCTTCTGTCAAGAAGGCCATGAATTAGACACAAACAAATTGAGCAGAGTTATTTTAGAGCGGCCAATTCAAGGCATCTTCGAGTTATCCAAACACTGGGATGTTTTCTTTGTCCATCCATCTTAAAACTCACAGATTAAAGGTCACCAATCATTGGTTTGAGCCTTGGTAAGTAGAAAAATAAAAGACAAAGTGACATCAGGAAAGTCTAATCAGCATATTTCAATTACACATTTTTAGTCTGACAATTTTATTCAGATTACTACAGTTTGTATAAAAAGGTACTATCAGCTTATTTTGTTTTCAACGCATCACAATGATGTAAAAATAGCTCATGTTTTGGCAAACTGAAAACAAACTTTCCAACCGTTTCCACACTGCAGAAATAAGACCCACCTGAGGGATGCCCAGCCAGTCGTCGGCCAGCTGCATGGCTTCAGAAGCGTTGTCCACCGGTCTGACCGAGTCCCAGGTTTCCCAGTCTGGACACAGACCTGAGAGCGAAACCATTGGGGAAACAGCAGAAACATCAGTTCTAAAAACATCATCCACCTAAAACATCATAGTTTGGCTGGATGTTGCTAGGCAACCTTAGCTTGAATATTTGAGTTCACACAGATCATTTACTGGAGAAACTTCTTAAAAAAAGCCTAATTTCAGTCGTAGTTTTACTTTATTGTACTCTTTAGCTCTACTGATTATTGACTAAACATCCCACTGACTGGTTTACCTGGAGCACAGCTGTCCACCAGAGCTCCCAGTGCTTTCCCGTCCCTCCAGTCTTGGCTGAAATTGGTGATTGGCAGATCGGGGACTTTGTGTTGAATCCAGCCAAGCAGACGCTGTTTAGGTGTCTTTGACTCTGCCTGAACATTAAAAAAAGAAAAACCCAACTATAAGTTCTGTTTTCTAAATGTAAGTATTTTTAAATGGAGAAGAGGCCGTCGTCACCTCTTGGTCCTCGCCCTCCCAGACCGGCATGGAGATGGAGTAGTGCAGGATCAGGGTCCAGATCAATCCCAGGATCAGCTTCAGGTTCCCATCTACTATAGCTTTAGAGTCTAAAAGAGAGAAGGAAAACATTTTTTTTTTATTAATTTCTGAACGACCAGACTGAGAAAAAAAAACAATCCGGGATGCAAAAGAAAGCAGTTTTCAAAGGAGCTGATCTAAAAGAAACAAACCCACCAGATTGTGGATGAACAACCAAATAGCCACAGATTGCGTAAATGGAGGCCCGGGCTTCAAGCTAGCAACCCCAAGATAACCAGACTATCCTCCGGAGCCAGACCGGAAAGAAGACAAGCATGCTTAGTGTGAGGGATTGCTGAAGAGTCAATGAGTCGATGCAATCAGCTGGTTTTCCTTAGATAGAAAACTTTGAATCGAATCTGACTTGATGATCTGGTGAACTGGAAAGTGACCTGAGATGATATGATGTGAATTGGCACTATAGAAATAAACTGAATTAAAGGAAAATTCCGGTTTTTAACACTTTTAGCCCCTTTTCTGTAGTGTCCAGGATGAAATCGAATGATCGACACCCAAAATTTTGACGATTGGTCCTGTCTCTGCTATTTGGCTCATGCAGAATCCCCCCCTGGCTGCTTCAGAATGGCTTCCATAGTGCATGTCAGATAATGTCCTTAAAACAACCTTAAACGTTCTTTTTTTAAAATATGCTACTCACCGGGTCGTCAGCGCTGTTCAATGACGTTCCAAAAAAAGTTTCGTGAAGAAAAAACGTTCCTGTAGTGTTTTATTTAGCATTTTGTAAATCCCATTGAGTTCTGTTGGAATAGTCGATATCCCTCCGCCACCGGAAACGGAAATGGGGCCTGTTTACGCGTAGTTGTAGTCTTTTCGCAATGCCCAAGTGTTTCTGCTTCACTCTGTGTACTCCGACGTCGAGGTGCTAACGTCTCTGTTAAACACTTTAAAAAACTCTGAAAATGGAATACGAAAGGTGGATTCTTGAGGAGGACATATTGGACTTTGAGTTTGACGGTAGATGATACCGTCGCCAACTAGTGGTCTGGAGTGTGCAACGCTTCAGATTCGAACCGGAAGCGGAAGTTTATAAGCGGTTGTGATGTATCGGAAAAAATAGTTCTGGGATTTACAAAATGCTAAATAAAACAAGACAGGAACGTTTTTTCTTCACGAAACTTTTTTTGGAACGTCATTGAACAGCGCTGACGACCCGGTGAGTAGCATATTTTAAAAAAAGAACGTTTAAGGTTGTTTTAAGGACATTATCGGACATGCACTATGGAAGCCATTCTGAAGCAGCCAGGGGGGGATTCTGCATGAGCCAAAAAGCAGAGACAGGACCAATTGTCAAAATTTTGGTGTCGATCATTCGATTTCATCCTGGACACTACAGAAAATGGGCTAAAAGTGTTAAAAACCGGAATTTTCCTTTAAAATTAAGATTGAGGACAAACTAACAGTGACACAGACCAGTGGTCCACAGTAGCCCTTTGGAAGAACAAAACAGCTGCAAAAATACTCCTGCATATACAGACCGGAGCAGAGCGGGAAAGGACCACCAGGCCAAAAACTACCTCGGACCAGGCCAGGGATGGGAAGGCCCACCCCGGAAGGTTCTTATTTTGATGGAGATGTAAAGTAACTTCATTATATTTTGCACACATTTTCATTTTCCATTAAAATCTGACATTTAATGAAGGAGATTGACGACAGGGACAAACAGGTGTGGGCAGCAATGACCCGGTACTTGGAGCACTGGGTCTATTGAGCCAGAAGACACCACAATCTGGTTTCTACATCTACCCAACAGAGTCCAGGAAACCAAGGGCGACTTTAAACCCCTCACAAGCAGCGGAGCAGTCTGAACACCTTCATTCGTCTCTGCAAGCTGGTGCAAGAGAAATCCCTGATGAGCTCAGCAGGATTCAAGTTTGGAAATCCTCTGATCCACCCAGGTTTTCTCCAGCTCCGCACCACCACCCGCTATGCTCCAAACATGTTTCATCAGCTCAGGTTTGGGAGGCGGCAGCCGCACCCACGGTGACACAATAATGAAACAGTGCCTCAGAGGAGAAGTTACGACATCAGGATTCCTCCATGATCTGGTTCTGCTGCAGTTGGTTTTTTTCTGATCCCATCTTCAGACTCTTCACTTTCCCCAACTGTTCCTTTCGTTTACGCCTCATTTCAAATGAATCTCCTCTGAGTCCCGCTTTTCTAGCTTTCCTTTTCTCCTTGAGGATGTAACAATACGCTTGTGCAAGAGTGCATACGTCTGTGGGAGCAAACATCCTGTTGGTGAGCAGCACTCCTCATTATTGACCTTTGACACATCCTGAACTCAACGTTTCTGAACAATTGTTCTAAAAGTCTCCCTTTCCATCCCAAGACCTAAAGCCCAAATAAACAGCTGAAGCTTCAACATGACTGATTAACGGACGCATATTTTCAGGACCTATCGTTTTGCAACAGGGCATGATGTCCATAGAGGAGGACATGATGCTCAAACTGGAAATAGAGTCGTTTCATTTTGTTTACTTCGTTCAAAGCTGCTCTATGCTGTCTGGCTGCAATGTGTTCGTCTGCCTCTGTGAGCTGCTACCCGAGTTTCTTGTTTTCACAGCGCTGCCCTCATGTTTATGTGCAGATAAGGAGCTAAATGTGTTGAAATGTGGCTCATTAAAAGATCAGTCGTAATTCTAAACATTTTAAAACCAGCCTGGTTGTGACCCAGACAGAGTACTGGCCAGACTCCCCCCCATAAAGATACCATACTGGTCTTTATGGGGGACCAGTGGAGTCCCCCATAAAGAACTCCACTGGTGCCACTATAACTAACCGGCCTTTACTTTATTTTGAAGTTCTTAATTCTGCTTTAGGAGAACAAAGAGTCACGGCTTCTGCCAATACCTGCTGATTTGTTGCTACGTTTCCGTGGAGACGCCACAACAATGACAAGCAGGAAAGAAGTGGCTGCTGGGAGGGTTTCTGTTAGTAGGAACCAACAAATAAAGGCTGAGTGTGTCTGAGCAGAAAAGGAAAGGGAGATAAAGCTCAGTGCCTGTGTGGGCAAAGGTGAGGCAGGTTGGAACCAAATGCCTTTCTCTTATCAGTGCAGCACACCCTGACCACCACAGGAAATTACATCATCGAGCAAAAACACGCCTAAAAATACCTGCTCTGGCTCCCACCCAACAGTTTGGTGCTTAAGTTAAAATGGTGAGCAAAGATAATGAGTTTATGGTTTTATAATGGTGTACTTTATGAGTCATGAGGCCGAACCTATGTTAAAACCAAAACAAACTCATTACTTCAGTCTGTGGATGCATAAAACATAGATTTTTATTTTCTAAATTTACTCGTTGCTTATTCTCAGAGAGCTGCAATTTCAAGTTTTGGTTTAGTACATCTCCCATATTTATCATGCCAAGATTAAGAAAATATTTAATACTTAAAAGCTATTTCAAACATATTTGTTCACAGACAAATAAATAACAGTCTTAACCCTGTTAGTCCGTGAGGCAGACACCCTGTCTACTTTTAAGGCTAGGCTTAAAACTTTCCTTTTTGATAAAGCTTCTAGTTAGAGTGGCTCAGGTTATCCTGAGCTATCTCTATAGTTCTGCTGCTATAGGCTTGGACTGCTGGAGGACATAGGGACCCCTTTCTTTAATTCTACTTCATTCTATCTCTATTCTCCCATTCTCCAGTATGTGTTAGTTTAACCGCTAACTTTATTCTCTCTCTGCTGTCTCTCATTATGGTAGCTTCATCTGGTCTAGTCCTGTTTGGAGAGACAGCAAGCTCAATCCGTGGCAGTGGCAGCGCTGCGGCAGTTCCGGTGGTTCGTCGGCCTGACACGGCTTTAGTACTGGCTGGCACGGCTAGGCCTGTCTCGATAATCAATAAATCAATTAATCACACGATAAATAAATACTATCCACATCATTTAATATATCGGCTATATTGTCTCTGCCTGTGTTTTTCTCCTTCTGTTGATGACGCTGGAAGAAAATGCTTAACCCCGGTGCTATCCACTGACCCCTCCCCTTCCTCATTTTTTAGGAAGGGAAAAAATGCGGAGGGAGGAGAAGTGGACTATCGCATCAGGTAGTCAGCGTGCATCATTTTGTACTTCTGCAGCTTTAAAGTCCCGTGAGGAGTTAGTGAGGTAAAAAAAAAAAAAAACACGTTATGTTGGGGGCAAAAGCTCGAAATGGAACTGGTTTCAAAGCCAAACATAACAGCCGCAGTGGGGGAGTATTTCAGATTCAACCCAAATGACCGAGGCGAACCGCTGAACCTGTGCGAGCCAGTATGTCCGGCCGGCAGAGCCTTCCACCGAGTGGCTGTGTAGTGGCCGGTGGTGGCCAATTATTGGCAGATAAACTACTTTGTTCCATCAAGTATATATGACATTATTAAAGCTTTAATGTAGGTTATTAAGCAATAACATCACAATATATTTAAAAAAAATCTACTTAGAGGTACTATAAATAAGTTATTTGCCGAAAAACGGCAAGAAAATACAAAAAAAAAAACAACTAAAAAACTAAACAAAAAATAAGTTAGTGGCTGCGGTCATTAATACGGCGTGCCAGCCAGTACTAAAGCTGCGTCAGGCCGACGAGCCACCGGAACTGTCACAACGAGCCAGAACGAGCCACCAGAACTGGCACCGGGACTGCCCCCGGGACTGCCGCAATGTTGCCACTGCCACTAATTGAGCTCGACCCTGCTGCCTGTTTGGCTGTGACTCCATCCTAGAGAGAAATATTAGCTGCGCTGCTGCCATCAACACCTTTCTTTATATATGTTCGAGATCTGCTTGTTTTTAAGTGTAGTCCTGTTTCTCTGACTGTAACAGGCTGGATGTGCCATCTTAATCTTCTGACATGGAAATTGACTCAGAGCTCGTCTGCCTGGCTGTGTGTTCACTGGATGGGGTCGCCTGTGGAGCTGGTTGACAGTTGCCTTTTCTATCTATGCTTATTTCTGTATGTCTGCTTCTGTCTCCTTGAACCCCAGTTGGCCTCAGCACATGGCCGCTCACACTGAGACTGGTTCT